GCTAATCGTTCCCCGCAAAACGGAAGTCCCTTGAGTTTGTTGAACTCTATATTTTAACCCTGGCTGGTCCCAAACCTTCCCCCCCCCCCACCCTTAAAATGTGCCTACCTAAATTGGAAAGGTTGGGGGAACAGTGGGATTTTACAAAGCATGTTTTAAAATAAAAAAGAAGCACAAGGATCACAGCAGAAGGACCCCCAACACACACACACTCCTACCTGTGAGGAGGACTACGAAGGCTGTGAGCAGTGGCCGGGAGGTTTGGCAGCCCCGCCCTCTGCTTCCCACTCTCAGAGGCAGCCCCGCCCTCTACTCTTTATACTCCAAGGTAGCTCAAGCTCAGAACAGCGAGGAGAGCCCACTCCAGAGCTGGATTAAAGGCCTGGGCAGGCCAGTTCCAGCCCATGGGCCATAGGTTTGACACCTCTGCCTTAAGCCTCTCCAAGTCAGGGCTGAGGGGGCTGCCTGGATGAACAGGGGGAAGCAAAACCACAAATGGGACACGAAGCACTGCTCCAAATATTTAAGCAAATCAACTTGTATGATTCATCCCTTCTGATCACGCCTGGGAGTCCTTTGTGGGCCTCCCTACAACCACCCATGGCTGAGAATTTATTTTCACTTACAAAATTCAGATCCTGCCTTTCTACCCCCACAAGGGCCACCAAGGGGCCTAACAAGTAAAAACATGTATGGATGTAATTATTTACGTTATATAAAGTCCACCTTTCTCATGGGGACTCAAGGGAGGTTACTCAGAGTGACTCAATAGGATGGCCCCACTGCTGGACCTCCTGATGGCACCTGGTATTTCTGGCCACTGTGTCACAGAGTGTTGGACTGGATGGGCCATTGGCCTGATCCAACATTGGCTTCTCTTACGTTCTTATGTTCACATGCAATAAACTATGAAATAGAATTTGGGTTGTAGAATCAACTAGAACCCTGAAAAAAAGTATTGAAAGAAAACCTCTAAATGATGCAAAATTACATAGTAGGATGCAACTTCCAGCAGTAGAAAAATTAAATAATACTATCCTACTAGCCTGATCTTGTCCGATCTTGGAAGTTTAGCAAGGTCAGCCCTGGCTAATATTTGGATGGGAGACCTCCAAGGAATACCAGGGTCATGACACAGAGGCAGACAATGGCCAACCACCTCTGAACTCTTGCCTTGAAAACCCTACAGGGTCGCCATAAGTCAGCTGTGACTTAACAACAGCAACAAATATGCATTAATATACACCACAGCAGCCAAGCAGTGATTCAGGACCGCTACAGTTTGGTGTAGTGGTTAAGTGCGTGGACTCTAATCTGGGAGAGCAGGGTTTGATTCCCCACTCCTCCACTTGCACCTGGCTGGGACCTTGGGCAAGCCATAGTTCTGACAAGAGCTGTCCTTGAAAAAGAGCAGTTTCTGTCAAGAGCTCTCTCAGCCCCACCTACCTCACAGGGTGTCTGTTGTGGGGAGGGGAAGGGGAAGGAGTTTGTAAGCCTCTCTGAGACACCTTTGGGTAGTGAAGGGCGGGGTATAAATCCAATCTCTTCTTCTTCCTCTACACCAGGAGATGAGAATAAGGAGATACATATAGCCGTGTATCATCTGCATATGGACGACAGCCAAGGCCAGAAATACAAAAGATTCGGCCTAAGGACTTTACATAAAGAAAGGGGGGGGCAAAGGATTGTGCCCTGTGGGTCCCAAACCGATCCGACAACCCAGAGGCCATTCTTTGGGTCCGGTCCTTTTGGAAGGATTTGACCCACTCCAACCCACAGCTCCCCCCCACCCCCGCATAATTCTGCCCCCAGGCGCCCAACACGAGGGCAGGGTCCGCTGTGCCAAGGGCAGTAGAGAGATCCAGGAGGAGTCTCGTGGAGGCCGGACCTTCGCCTACAGGGAACAGGCACTTTGAAACTATTTATTACATTTTAAACCAATTCAATACCAGCTCCCCGTCCAAAACACACGACAGCCACATTTCTGTCTCCCAGGACTGAAAAGCTGATCCCCCCCCTTCCATGACTTACTTGCGAGTAAAGCTTTCCGGTATCCGGCTGCACGGCTTTTTCTCTCCTGTTGCAAATCTGCAGCCCTCCCTGTTCTCTTTGACGATTCAATGGCAACCCCTCCCCCCGCCCGGGAAATGCCTTTTCCTCTTTCCCGCCCCCTTTTGCTCGGCCTCCCCAGGAAGGAGTTCTCTCGCTTTAACCCTTTCAGTGCTGCAGACGAAGGAATGAGAAAAGCTCCCTCCTCTCCTCCTCTCCACCAGGCGTAGCGCCCAGACCCGGACGGAGGGGACAGACTTCAGCCAGGATGCCCTGCGACGCCCGCTCGACAGATCTGTCGCGAGTAGCTCTGCACGGGGGATCGCAGGCTGATCAGCCCTCTCCGCACATCGAGCGGGCGAGTGGGGGGAGGAGATGGAGGCAAACTCCCCCCGGCTCCCCTTCAGCCATCGGAAGCGCAGGGCTCCCCACAAGCTTCCTATCCGATGGGGCTTCAAGCGGTTTTACGACTGCACGGAAGATGTCTGTTCCTGTCCCCTCCTAAGACAGCTCGGGAGACTCCTTTCTGTGGAAATCTGACTCTCTCGGCCCTCTCTGGGCCTGCTGTTCAGCCAGGACCAGGTCCGTACCCCTGGGGCTAGACTTCCAGCCAACCCCATTAGTCAACGTCTTTTATGTCAGGAACATATTTGTGCAACCAATCCAAATAGAGTAGGAAACGGTGCTTCCATGTTATGCCTATTAAATGCCACACTTTTCAGAGTTCGTTTCCCAAGCTACTTCAGGGCCAAAAAACAACTTCCTTCGAAGTGACAAATGTAAAATTGTAAAATTTAAAAATGTTGTCAGGACAAACATATGATCTGCCAGTAGAGGGCACTGCAGGATTGCTTTTCACAAACCAACCTCATGAAGGCTGAATTTCCAACTGGGAAATTTTTCATAGGCTGTCTCTGAGGATCAAGGGTCCCGGTTTTGGTCTTCAATAGAACAAGCGAGATTCGAGTCCAGGTTTCTTGTCAGTCTCTTAAGGTACTGCTGGACTTGAATCTTGCTGCTCTGAATCTGCTTCCACAGAGATGGTGTAGTGTATCAAGCCTGACAAGTCCGGACTTGCCCGGACTTGCCCAGGGACAACGCAGAGCTTCATGCCTAAAGACAATGGAGTAAGAGGATCCTAGCCCTGCCAATCGGGAAGCTAGGTTCCTGGCCGAGTAGCCTATGGGATTCTCGGCCACTGTAAATAACCTATTGGGAAGGGGGGGGTGTTTTGGGTGGCGGTTTCTCGGGGATATAAGCCGGCCTGCGAGCCGGCCAAGGTGTCTTGTTCCTGACTGAATAAAGTACACTTTGCTGAATCACTCTCCGTCTGCATACTTTTCAGATGGGTTTTCGGAGTATCCACATGACCTCATCCCCCCCCCCCCCAAAAATGGGATCAATTTGTGATGGCTAAGATAGCAGATAAAGTACATAGAGCTCAAATTTTACGGTCCTCTAACCTCAAATTTGAATCAACCTGGTTCCCGATATTTTCATTTCTTACTTCACGGGGCATATTGCCAATAAATACCTGTTACCAAAAATGGGTTCTGATGTAACATACTAAGAGTCAAAATTTAAAGGATGCTTTCATTGTTATTATTATCTCTGGGGCTTTAAGTTCAAAAATACCTGAATGATACTGTAACTCTTTTGTAGGAATGTCGAGTGTTTATTATTGGATTCCTTGCATGTTCTTGTTTGCTTTGTTATGAAAAATGAATAAAGAGAAATTTTTAAAAAAATGATTTAGAATCTTCTGGGAAAGCACATTTGCTCACTGTGTGGGCAAGAAAATGCACACTTTTGCAGGTTCCACCCACATAGGGGCCATTTCCTTGCCTCAGCCCCCTCCTCAGCTGTCAGCCTCCCCCCCCCCCACAAACACATACACTAAGGCTGTTTAAGAACACTCACAAAGTCAGGATGTTTGTTACGGATTTTGGAAATGTTTGAAAACACCAGCGGGAGCTGTGCTAAGCCAATGCTCTCTAGGTGTGAGTCAACCACGACTACTGAGGAGAGCTTAAACCATCTTTATTTAACTTCACACGCATTCAGAAGATCATTTACTCGCAATCGACCAGATAGCTGGGTGGAAAGTTACATCTTGTGATCTAAGTCAGTTCTATAGCCATGGTGAGAGAAGAGATGGGCTTCCCCTCTCCTTGCAATAAGGGTTGATGGACAAAGAAACAGAAAAGAACAATAAAACTCCTATCTTTGCGCCCCTGAGCTCAGGAAATTACTCTTAATGAGCCAGTCAGAGGGAAGCTTCTGGGACCCCTAACTGTGGACTCCAATTCCCAGGGTGCAACTACTCTTAAAGGTGCATTAAAGCTGGCTGGGGCAGCACACAGGCCCTGCAGCCAACCCTTTCTTAACATAGGGCACAGGTGATTTACTCAACCATCCCAGAACTGAAGCTACTCCATCTGACAGAGAACTCATAAGAACATAAGAAGAGTTCTGGCGGATCCAATCCATGGTTTAGTCCAGCATCCTGTCTGACACAGTGGTGAACCAGTTCCTCTTGGGGGGCCAACAACAGGGCATAGAGGATAAGACATTCCCCTGATGTTGCCCCCCTGAATTTGGGGGTCAGAGGATTAGGGCCTCTGAATATGGAGGTTCCCCTCAGTCACCACAACTAGTAGCCACAGATAGACTTATCCTCCGTGAATCTATACTAATCCCCTTTGAAAGCTGTTTGTTCCTACGGCCATCCTCTGGCAGTAAATTCCACGTTTTAATAACTCTCTGTGTAAAGAAGTATTTCCTTTTGTCTGTCCTGAACCTACCGCCCATCAGCTTCATTGGATGCCCTTGAGTTCTAGACTTTTGAAAGAGGGAGAAAAAGTTCTCATTGTCAACTCTCTTCACCCCATGCATCATTTTACAAACCTCTATCATGTCCCCACTTAGTCGTCTCTTTTCTAAACGGAAAAGTCCCAGACTCTTCAGCCTTTCCTTATAGCGAAGTTGCTCCAAACCCCTCATCATCTTGGTTGCCTTCCTCTGTACATTTTCCAGCTGTGCAATGTCCTTTTTGCAGATAAGGTGACCAGAATTGTACACAGTATTAGATCTATAGATCTATACCGGGGCATTATAATAGCAGCTGTTTCCTAATAATCCCTAACAAAAAGTTTGCCTTTTTTCACCCCTGCAGAACATTTGGGTGACACTTTCATTGAGCTCTCCACTACAACCCCAAGATTCTCCCCCCCCTCCCCGGTCTCAGCAAATTCAGACCCTATTAGCCTGTATGTGACACTGGGAATTCTTGTCCCAGTGTGCATCACCTTACACTTACCAACACTGAACTTCATTGGCCGCACTGTTCCCCACTCACCCAGTTTGTGAGCTCTTCACAGGCAGCCTTGGTTTCTACCAGCCTGAAATTTTTTGTCTTATCTGCAAACTTTTTCCGTCTGATCCCATCACATTTGTGCTTGACTCTCTGCTGCCACCACCAGGCCAACAATGAGAAGTGCGTCTGTCTGGTGGTAATCTGGTTCCCAGAGGCTGTTTCTACCACAGCCCTTTAAGAAACTTTTCTCCAAATCACAGGTCACTCACCCTCCCCCAGACCTGCCATGGAAGCAGGAACCTTGGGAATCAAACAGTTGATATCATGGTGCAGTCCAAAAAAACTGCTTCCACTTGTCTCGATAATCATACCAGTTGTCTCGATAATCATACATGGCTGACATTCAAAAGTGGCTAGTACCAAAAAGCTGGATCCACTGAAACCTACTTACAAAAGATGTCATTCTCTTTCTACACAAACTTTGGAATCAGGTTCTAAGACTGGATACCTTAAAAGACACGTTGCAGCACTGGCTGCTATGTTGGACAGCAAAAGATTGCATAATTTTTTCTTTCCATAGGCACGTTAGACCATCTTGGTGTAGTGGTTAAGAATGGAGGACTCTAATCTGGAGAACCGGGTTTGGTTTCCCACTCCTACTCCACGTGAAGCCAGCGGGATGGCCTTGGTTCAGTCACAGTTCTCTCAGAACTCTCTCAGCCCCATCAACCTCACAGGGTGTCTGTTGTGGAGAGAGGAAGGGAAGGCGATTGTAAGCTGCTCTGAGACTCCTTTGGATAGTAGAGAGCAGGGTATAAAAACCAACTCTTCTTCCTCAAAGGAACCATGCAGTTGGCACCTCCCATGAAGCACAGATTGCCTACTAGGAACCAATGTTCCCTCTAAGCTGTGAAGTCTTGTGAGCAAAAATTCTACTTTGTGAGCTTCTGGCATGAAAGTGGTGAGCGAGCGATTTGGCTACTGCATAAATTAGTTTGCTCTGGAGCCATCTTTCCTGGGCTGAGAGAAAAATGTGTGAGCTGGAGGCTAAAAACCTGTGAGCTAACTCACACTAACTCAGCTTAGAGGGAACTCTGCTAGGAACCTTTTGAAAGCCTTAAAGGCCTTGAGCAGACCTCCATTTGAGCCTTACAAACAATCAGAACCTAAAGTTTTCTTCTCAGAATATGTCGTTTTTCTTGCAGAGATGACTTCTGCAAGAAGGAATTCTGAACTAGGGGCTTCATTGGTCAGGAATTGTGTGTATTTCACAAGGTCTCAGTGGTACTTAGGACAAAGCCTGGTACTACTGTCCTTTTGTCCTACACCATCTCATCTCAAAGCGAGAGTCTGGCACAAACTAGACATGCACAGGGCTCCGTGCTTCTGTTTCAGTAGGACGGCACAGATCAGGCCAAAGGATTTTCTGTCTCTACCTCACAGATCCACGCCTGTAACTAGAAACGTCTCAAGCCATGTATCTGAAAGGCATATGAAGTACAAGGCCTGGGACCTCCAAAGGATGTTATGGCCCACTCCACCAGATCTGCAGCAACATCAGTGACCTTTTCCACCAGGGTTCCGGTGGAAGAAATCTGTAGAACTGCAACCTGGTCCACTTATTATACCTGTGTGAGACACTATAAGTGGGACCAGTTAAAATCTATGGAAGGTTCATCTGGTAGAAAGGTGCGCAACAGAGTAGTGGAACAAAATAAAAATGAGTATCCCATCCAGGTTGTAGTTTGGGCATGTAACCAGCTTGGATGACTTCCCCCCACTGAAGGAGAATGGAACACACTGAAGAAGAATGGAACATTGGAACTTAACTGAAGGTTTCTTCTCTTCATTGGGCTGAAGTCATCCACATCCCACCACAAAACAAAAAAAATATGTAGTTGGACACAAAATCTGTTATGGATCTGGGCTATGCTAAGACTGGATGGTCAGGGTCACTCTGAGACAATATATTCTACACAAATATGCATAGTCCTGCCTGGAGTGAGAGGAGGTATGACCTAACCAGTTTGGATGACTTGGCCCCACTGAAGAGAAGAAACCTTCAGGTAAGTCCCAGTGTTCCATTTCTTTCTTCCCCATGAGATCTACTTGAGCTCTCTCAGTCCAAATACTTCTATCATTTCTTCCAGGTTATGGTCAGGATTCTAGGCAGATAAAAGCACTTTATAAGAGTTTACAAGGTTTCAACCCCTTCAAATGGTCTGTGGTTGCCTTTTACGTGTGAAATAAGAGAAAAGCTCTTTTCACAAGCTAAGCGAGTTATATGGTTTCTCCTTGTGTGGGTTCTTTGATGCTGTTGAAGATGGCCAGGCTAACTGAAACTCTTCCCACACTCTGAGCATGCAGGAGGATTCTCCCGTGTGAGTGTATAGATGCTTTTGAAGATCACACCTCTGAATGGATTTCTTTTTACACCCTTTGCATTCAAAAGATTCAAAAGTGATGCTCCAGTTGAAAGCCTTTTCAGACTCTGATCATTCAAAAAAGCTTCTCCCCTAAGTTCTTAAATGCTTGTGAAGATGGCCACTCTGACTGAATATTTTTCCACACTCTGGACAATCAAGAGGTTTTGCACCTCTGTGTGTTTCTTGATGACGCTGAAGATTGCCTGTCCCAATGAATCTCTTCCCACATTATGAGCGCTCAAAATGTTTCACCCCTCTGTGGTTTCTTTGATGTTGTTCAAGACTGCCAAGCTGACTGAAATTCTCTCCACATTCTGAGCATTCAAATGGTTTATCCTTTGTGTGGGTTCTTAGATGCCGTTGAAAATTGCTACGGTCACAAAAGCGCTTTCCGCACTCTGAGCATTCAAAAGGTTTCTCTCCTGTATGGATTCTTTGATGCAGTTGAAGATGGCTACTCTGACTGAATCTCTTTCCACATTCTGAACATTCAAAAGGTTTCTCCCCTGTGTGAGTTCTTAAATGCTTGTGAAGATGGCCACTCTGACTGAATATTTTTCCACACTCTGGACAATCAAGAGGTTTTGCACCTCTGTGTGTTTCTTGATGACGCTGAAGATTGCCTGTCCCAATGAATCTCTTCCCACATTATGAGCGCTCAAAATGTTTCACCCCTCTGTGGTTTCTTTGATGTTGTTCAAGACTGCCAAGCTGACTGAAATTCTCTCCACATTCTGAGCATTCAAATGGTTTATCCTTTGTGTGGGTTCTTAGATGCCGTTGAAAATTGCTACGGTAACAAAATCGCTTTCCACACTCTGAGCATTCAAAAGGTTTCTCCCCTGTGTGGGTTCTTAAATGCTTGTGAAGATGGCCACTCTGACTGAATATTTTTCCACACTCTGGACAATCAAGAGGTTTTGCACCTCTGTGTGTTTCTTGATGACGCTGAAGATTGCCTGTCCCAATGAATCTCTTCCCACATTATGAGCGCTCAAAATGTTTCACCCCTCTGTGGTTTCTTTGATGTTGTTCAAGACTGCCAAGCTGACTGAAATTCTCTCCACATTCTGAGCATTCAAATGGTTTATCCTTTGTGTGGGTTCTTAGATGCCGTTGAAAATTGCTACGGTAACAAAATCGCTTTCCACACTCTGAGCATTCAAAAGGTTTCTCCCCTGTGTGGGTTCTTATTGCACAAGGAGCTCTGATCTGTTTTTAAAGTACCTTCCACACCGAAAGCATTTACATGCCTTCACTACAATGTTCCTTGGGAAATACACATTACACTGTCTTCCATCAGAGAATGTCATTCCACTCTCTGAGCAGATAAATGACTTCTCTCCTGAGTGAATGCTTTGGTGTTTAATAAGGTCCAATTTCTGTGAGAAATTCTCAACACAATCCGAGCAACTATAATGTTTTTCTCCTGTATGTGTCTGTTGATGTTTAAGGAGCTCAGCACTGCAAAGGAAGCTCTTTTCACATTCCAAACATTGATGGGTCTTCTTTCCACTCTGCATTTGCAAATGGATACTATATTGGGTGAGGTCTGAGAAGGTTATTCCACACTCCAAGCACTTGTATGTTTCCTCCACCATGTGAATTGCTTCACCGAAATCCCCCCTTTGGCAAGGAATGGGTTCATCCCTCTTGTCAACTTTATGGGTTTCGTTCTGCCTCATGGGTCTGCTTTGGTTCCTGAAGTTTCCTCTCAAGTCTTCATTCTTGACTTCATCTGGGGACAGATGATGCAGTTCCTCATCCTCCTCATTCCTCTGATCATCTTCTGTTGGAATAAAGAGAGAGACCCCATTTGCACCCGTATAAGGAGGTATGATTTGCATTTAAAATTCCATCCACACTCAAAGCGTTTTAGGGGCTGCCTCATATTTATTTATTTATTTGATTCGTACCCTGCCCTCCCCGCCAAGGCAGGTACGTTGAAATGTACGTGTTCAATATATATGTTAATCAGACACTCCTCATTCACGACTGTACATTCCTTTGGCAGAACTTCTTTCCCCCCAAAACATGTTTGCTGGGGGGGGGGGAGAGAAGCCAGGACTTCACCAAGTGAACACCACAACTCAAAGGGCACCCCCATGGTTTTTGAAAGGGATATCCATTGTTGAGGGGGGTTAAGGCATCTAGGTGATGACTAGAGAGACGTGTTGATGACCCTTTTGCCTCATTCAGCCTGGCTGTTTTTAATTAATCCCTCCTCTGTTTCCCCATTACCCATGCAATCCTATGTTGATCAAGTGAAAGCCGTATCTGGTGGTGGGAGTCAAGCAAAGGGCCTTTTCCCCAAGATTTAAGAAGTCCCCTCCCTGATCATCTAGCCTGAATAAAGACCCAAAAAATCAAGACAATAAGCAAAGGGCCAGGCCAGGCCCCAGGCCTTGCTTCGTTATTTTAAGTAATGCAGAGAAATAGTTCTCCTCCTACTCGATCATCTATTCAGTCGTCTACTTGCCTATCTAAACTCTCAGTGTCTCTAAGGAAACACTTCTCCTTGAGACTCTTACCTGTAATGCAAAACAAGAAGAACTCCCCTCCACAATTTGACTCCTTGTCAAATTAACTCATCTCGAAAGATGGACTTTTCATCACTCCTACATTCCAATTTATACAGAAATGTATAAAAAGTGATCCCCTGGTTCATCCAGTCTGTAGCAGGTTTTAGACCCCAGCCTCTTCCCCCAACCGTATGCTTGGCTTCTCTCCTTTTTTCCTTTTTCTTTTAATACTTTATTTTAAATTTTTATAACAATAAACAACAATAAACCATGTCATTAATATCATGTAGTAACACACTGCTTAAGACTTAACACAGAAACAGCTAAAACAACAACAACAAAAACTATAATACGACAATAACAATCAGGGGGTATAATATGGGTCAATTGCTATATCCATGTTAACAATCATGGTAAGCATTTTGCAATAACTACATTAAAGAAGGCAGCTTATCTTAAAAAAACTGGAATAATGATACTCTTGGGAATAACTTTGATTGTCAAGTACCTCATCTAAGTTTTCCAAAATTGGGAACCATCTTTCTAAATAATTGGAAGGACCTAGAGAAGGATCACAGCGGGATATTGTATCCAAAATCCTGTCCATTATGAGGTGGCTTCTCAGCTTTTCCATCCTATTCTGCTGTGCTTCGCCAGAGCTGCCCGGCTGTCTTCAGGAAGCAGGCTTGTATGCCCTTGACTCTTCCCTTTCATTTTCCCCCTTAGTAGGAGGAACTTTGTGAGGGAAAGTTTTTTTTGGGAAAGAGATTACTTCACACGTGCATTTATTTCCTTTCAGTAGCACCTCTGTTTTTATTTCCCTGACCTAACCTAGTTCTCTTTCTGTTAACTTAATAAATTTATGTTCTTGTTTAAGGAGCTCATACCCTTCATTTCCTTTGAGTGCTGGTCTGTAACTCGGCCCTGGTAGACATAGGTTTACGATCTCGGGAATTAAGATCCCACAATACGTGTGTTTTCTCTTTGCTAGCAGGAGGATGCTTTTGCTAGCCACAGGGGTGGTCGTCCATGAGTGATTTGGGTCACAGACCCTTTTCTGAGGGCCTCTCAGCCTTTCTTGGGCCCCAGGCCAGGACACCCTCTCTGGCTCGGGTGCTGGCCACAACACTGGCCTCACTCGCCCCTGGGCCAGCCAAGTGGGATGGGTCGCTCTCCCAGGCCGTGCTGAACGTCACTTTTACTGCCACCCCGACTCCTCGAGACCCCAAACAGGGGACAGGTAGTGGGGCAGGCCTGAAAACAATGCATTTGTGTTCCATATTGATTCACGCCTCATCCCTATGGCAGCAATTCTCACCCATGAAAGATCCTTACCCAGAAATGCCACACTCCCGTAGTTCTCCAGCATGACTTCCCTGTAGAGAGCTCTTTGGCCCGGATCCAGTAATGCCCACTCCGCCTCGGTGAAATACACGGCCACCTCCTCAAAGGAAAATGGACCCTGGAAGAAAAAGCAGATTCCCAACTCAGAGATCATGCCAGGCAGACAAGGCACACTGGAAGGGGGCAGTCAGGGAGGGCGCAGGATGCAGAGCTGGGCATGGGCAAAGGGAGTGGCACTCAGAGCCTCTCTCCCTTGGACACCTGAGCAGCGACTGCAGGAGTAAACAGCCCTTTGTGAAACGACCCAGGCTGCCCCCCACTCATCTCCTCTACCTGGACTGGAGGAGCTGCGGCCATTTCCACACCTCTGCCAAGACGATGGCTGGACACCACCGGTCCACTGCCTGAGAGGGAGACAAAGGAGGAAGGAAGGTTGTTAGGCTCGACTCCCTCGTTGGTTTGCTTGTTTGAATCCCACCTTGTGCACCCTCCTTCCCGGGATTGTGAAACTTTGCCATAGGCACACTCGACACAATTCGTAAGGATTCTGAGTAAATTGTGGGAGAGACAGAAGAGAAGCACTGGCGCCCATGAGCCTTGGGGGCTTCTGAATGCTGCTGGCCCACTGAGAATTCCCTGAGAACTGAAATATGCTCTGTGAACTCTGCAGTTCAAAGAAACAGGACAGCATCCCCTCCTGGATCAGACCCATGGCCCAGGAACTCCGTTCTCCCCCCAGCTGGGCCCTCCCAAAGGCCCTTCAGTTCAGGCCGGCATGAGGAAAAGAGAGGGGCAGAAATGACATTGCATGACATGTATCTCTCACATCCCTCCGAAAACCAAGAGGGTGATTTTAGCTCATATGAAAACTCCAGGGAAATATCAGTAGGTTTCCAGAGTGTCTGCTGATGCCCGGACATCACATCCAGTCCATGCACCACCTCCAGACATCACAGGGGTGCCTGGCTACAGTCTGGCATCCACAGTCCACTCTTCTCTTTCTGACTGTGGCCTATCAGGTGCCCCGGAAGGCCTTTCAGCAGGGGCACAGAAGACAAATGTTGGCCACTAGCAATGCGTTTTTGGAGGTAGGCTGCCCCAGAACATGGAAGTTCCACTCATTTGCCATGGCTCACAGCTGTGCCCAGATTGGCCGACCTTTCCTTTTTCGAACTGATTTGCATCCCACTAATAGAAGGTAGGGGACTTCATGGCATGCAATGAAACTGAATCCCAGATCTTAACTCTGTGTTCTGTACAGCCAGGGCCAGCTCACCCACTAGGCGAACTAGGCATTCGCCTAGAGCACCGGGCCCTGGATGGGGCACCAAGCTGTGCCTCCCCCCTCCTCCCCCCCTTTGGTGGCGGGGGAGGGAGGAGGCGGTGGTGGCAGCAGCAAAAGGTAGCTGGCTCCAGAGGGCTCCAGGTCTCCAGGCCCCACTGGGAGGTTGGCATCTGCACCATAAGGCAGCCTCGCCTAGGGCGCAGAAACACCTCGAGCCGGCCCTGTGTACAGCACCATTTCCTTTTTCTCCTGTCGTAAACTTTCTGCCCATCAACTTCACTGTGTGCCTCAATCCCATCAGCCTTACCACCTGAGAGGGCATCTTGGGCAAGCTCCTGGGCCCGAGAGCTCTGCCCTCCCTCCAGAGGAGATCCTTCCTCCTCAGAGAAGTTAGCTTCCATCTTCACTGATGGTTCCCCCATCTGAAAGAGCAGAAAAGGAGAAGGGTAAGAGAAGGAATGGAACAAGCCGAGGAGAAGGATCCTGTATCCACTTCCCAGACTCCTCATCCCTGCTCTGACCAGCAGAGGTGGTGAAACCACCAGGGCAAGAGTCAGGTTTGGCTTTTCTTTCCAGCCTCGTGAATTCTCTAGAGGCAGAAATACCTGGCTGGGAAGCATTAGGAAAAGGTTGTTGCTTGAAGTGAGTGAAGAATATGCTACCTCACCTGCTCTGCCTGCCTCTTCTCCTCTGCCTGGCTCAGGAGGAAACCTTCGGCCAGGGCCACCGCCTGGGAACTGGTCTCTGGCCCACATTCTCTGACCCAGTACTGCATTTCCTGGGGCAGGATGGCCAAGAACTGCTCCAGGATCACCAGGTCCAGGATCTGCTTCTTGGTGTGCCTCTCTGGCTCCAGCCAGTGGTTGCAAAGTCCATGGAGCTGGCTGCAAACCTCTCGGGGTCCATCAGCCTCATGATAACGGAACTGGCGGAAACGTCGGCTGCGTGCATCTGCGTTCATAGTGTCCTGAACCAAGACCTCTGGCACAGCTCTTTCCCAGAATTCAGCACCACTTCCTGGTTGGATGGGATGGGGACCTTTCCTTGATCTCTTGCCAGTTCCAGGTCCTTCTGGGTCCTTCTCTTCCATCTCCTTCCCTTGGGTTGCCTGTGGAAAGGTACCCTTATTCACGTGGCTATGAAGAGAGAGAGGAAAACATATCAAAAAGGCAGAAAGAACCAAAAGAGAACACCTAATGATTGCCCCAATGACTCTGGTGGAGCATCCTTGTTTAGTTTTGCAGATCAGGTTTAGTGTCATTGTGCTAGATTTCATATCAAGCTTTCTTCGTTATGCCTGTTTGGTCATTTAGGAAAGTAAACCATCTCAATTTGGCTCTTTAATAAAAATCTGTTGCTGATGTTATGATCTTGGCCTCCTGTGACTGCCTGTCAGTCTGTCTTAGGGGCTACTCTCAATGTAAACTGGAGCCCGGTACCAAGTGTCTTGTAAGGTGCTTAACCACTTCAGTTATCTCCTCAATAGGCTGGAAGTGTTAGGCGATAGCTGTATCCGAGCAGCCAGTAGAGCGGAAGGAGCAGAGGGGCCCTAAGCCAGGGGTGTCAAACTCACTTCGTATTAGGGCCAGATTTGACATAAATTGGACTTTGTCAGGCTGGGCCACGTGTGTCATATAATGTAATTCCAGGTAGCAGAGATATAAACTTTATAAAGGACACAATTAAAGATATTATAGCAGCTATTCTGCTGGAGCCTCATATTAGGAGGGCATGTGTGTTAAAACTAATATTTCTCTGCAAAACTGGAGTCCCTTGAGTTTGTTGAACTCTATATTTTAACCCTGACTGGTCCCAAACCTCCCCCCCCCATGCTCTTAAAACGTGCCTGCCTAGTCCCAAACCTCCCCCCCCCAATGTAAACTACCAATATAAATGGTCTGAGCCTCGGACCCAGGGGAAGAACATGAAATGGCTGAGCATTGCAAGCTTCCCCCCCCCCTCCAGCTGTTCTCAAGAGTGGCAGTGGCTCTCCAGGGTTTCAGGGTTTTTTTTTATAATACTTTTATTTATGATTTTCCTTCTCAATTCACATTAACATTTTTTCCTCCTTCCATCTTTCTGGGTTTTTTTTAACATTACAAATTTCATTCCCTTATACATTTGAGTCAAACTTCCTATCTATTATACATCCAGTTGTAAAATCTTTCCCATCTTTTAATAAACACACTTTCATCTTTCCCTTGAAGAATTAAAGTTAACATGTCCATTTCTGCTACTTCCATCAATTTTTCTATTGTCTCTTGTCTTGTTGGGACTCTATCTTGTTTCCAGTGCTTGGCCAATAATATTCTTGCAGTTGTCATTATATACTTTGGCTGCGGTCACACGGAACAGAAGCCACACAAGTGAGACGGAAAACAGGCGGAGTTTCCAGGCGCGATCTCACCAGCACATCTGGGAAGCGTAGCACTCCTGTGGCTCAACCGAGGCTTCCAGCCGAAACTGCGTGGCAAAAAACTAGTACCTCGGAGGTACTAGTTTCCGGAAACTGCGGGGCAAGGGCGGGCGTCTGATCGCGTTTCTGGTGGCATCCGGCGCCCGCCCATGTCCCCTTGCAAATATGGTGGGGTTTTTTGTCCAAGTCTCTGTGGATGCGCACGCGCACCCAACGGAGCATGCGCATTTGTCATGTACACACAAAAACAAAACAGTTTGCCGCAGCGCGCGCTTCTTCATTGCGCGCCAGCTTGTCCTGTGATCGGCACCTCTCCCTTGCCATGGAACCTCCACGGTACCTCCACAGGACCTCCACAGGAGGTCTGATCGCGTAACCGCGCAGTAGTTTGCCCCAGGGCAAACAGCCACACTTCTCCCCCGCAGTTTCCTGCCCGTGTGACCGGGGCCGTTAATACATACTTTTCATTATATTTACAATCCTCTGGTACCGTATTCAGTAAGGCTATTTCCGGAGTTAAGATTATGTTTATCTTCATGATATCGAGCACTAGTTTTTGAATAATTTCCCAGTACCTCTCGACTTTCTCACAGCGCCACCACATATGAAAAAAGGTCCCTATGTTTTTCGTGAATGGTTTCAGGGTTTTTTAACAGGGTGATTTGATATGATAATTTTGGGTGTCCTCTTCAGCACCTGTTCTGCTATTATTCCACTGGAGCTCCACATTAGGAGGGTATATGTGTGTGTGTGTGAAAACTAATATTCCTCTGCAAAACTGGAGTCCCTTGAGTTTGCAGAACACTATATTTTTAACCCTGGCTGGTCCCAAACCTTTCCCACATACACACCCTTAAAATGTGCCTGCCTAAATTGGAAAGGTGGGGGAATAGTGGGATTTTGCAAAGCAAGTTTTAAAATACAAAAGAAGCACAAGGATCACAGCAGAAGGAACCGGCCCCCAGCTCCTACCTGTGAGGAGGACTACGGAGGCTGTGAGCAGCGGCTGGGAAGTTTGGCAGCCCCGCCCTCTGCTTCCCACTCTCAGAGGCAGCCCCACCCTCTGCTCTTTATACTCCAAGGCAGCTCAAGCTCAGAACAGCGAGGAGGGCAGGGGAGGGGGGAGAAAAGAGAGCCCACTCCCGGGCTGGATTAAAGGGTCATAGGTTTGACACTCCTGCCTTAAGCCTCTCCAGGTCAGGGCAGAGGGGGTGCCTGGATGAACAGGGGGAAGCAACAACCCCCCCAGAAAAACTGCAAATGGGACATGAGGCACTGCTGCAAATGCTTAAGCGAATCAGCTTGTATGATTCATTCCTTCTGTTAACGCCTGGGAGTCCTTTGTGAGCCTCCCTACGACTACCCATGGCTGAGAATTTGTTTTAATTTACAAAATTCAGATCCTGCCTTTCTGCCCCCCCAAAAGGGCCACCAAGGTGGCTAACAAAACATGTATGTATGTGTTTATTTACATTATTAAAGTCCACCTTTCTCAAGGGGACTCAAGGGAGTTTACACAGAGTGACTCAATACAGCCAATAGGATGGCAGATTCAATAGACTACGAAAGAGAATTTGGGTTGTAGAATCAACCAGAAACCTGAAAAAAAGTATTGAAAGAAAAGCATAAATGTTAACACAAACTACTAAATGATGCAAAATTACATAGTAGGATTCAACTTCCAGCAGTACAAAAATTAAATAATACCACCCTACTTAACGATAAACTGTACATGTTAGTACCCTAATCTAGATAGCCCAGGCTAGCCTGATCTCGTCAGATCTTGGAAGCTAAGCAGGGTTGACTCTGGCTAATATTTGGATGGGAGACCTCCAAGGAATACCAGGGTCATGACAGAGAGGCAGGAAATGGCAAAGCACCTCTGAAGTCTCGTGCCTTGAAAACCCTACAGGGTCGCCATAAGTCAGCTGTGACTTGATGGCAACAACATTAAATATGTGTTAGTATACACCACAGTCCCTAAGAATTTCTCCAAGTCATTTTGTGAATCATTCTGTACACTACTACCCTATTGCCTATGTAGAAAAGCCCTCTTGAATAGTTCAGTTTTCCATAGTTTGCAAAAAGGCAGGAGAGTGGGAACCTTTCCGACCTCAGGCACACCATTCCACAAGGTGGGGTCCTCAAAGGAGAAGGCACGTGGATGGACAGTTGTTGATTCTGCTCTTGTGCAGGGCGGGACCTGCGGAAGTCCCTGCTCAGATGAGTGAAGCTGTCATGGCAGAGCATAAGGGGAGAGACTGTCTTTGCAGGGATGAGGTTCCAAGGCCATGAAGGGCTCTGGATGGGAGAGCCAGTCCCTTGAACTGAGTCGGGTTACTCATGTGCAGCCAGTAGAGTGACTGCAGAAGGGGAGTAATATGCATGTTCCTTCTAGTTGCTGATAATACGGAGCTCCACCGTTCTGCACCTACTGGAATTTTGATTATGAGGGGAGACCACTGTATAGTCCATTAGTCTAGTCTCAATGTCACCATGAGATAGATCCAGGTGGCCGGATCAGCTGTTATCAAGGTAAGGCTAGGCTGAGCTGGAAGGAAGCCTTTTCTGCAATTGCATTAACTTGCTTCTCCAGCAATCCGGTTAGGTTTCAGTAAAACCCCGAGGCTTTTAAGTGGGTCTGCCAGGGTCAGCTGAACTCCATGGAAAGCGGGGAGCAGAACGTCCTTCAAGACCTCCACCTTCCCAACAGGCATGACTTCGGTCTTTCCTGGATTTCGTTTCAATTTGTTCACTCTTAAGTGTTTAACCAGAGCAGCCAAGCAGCGATTCAGGACCTCTACTGCACCCATCACCAGGAGATATGGACAAGGAGATACATATAGCTGTGTATCATCTGCATATGGATGACAGCAGAGGCCAGAATTACAAAAGATTTGGCCTAAGGGCTTTACATAAAGAAAGATGGGGGGTGGGGCAAAGGATTGTGCCCTGTGGGTCCCAAACTGATCCGATAACCCAGAGAACATTCTTTGGGTCCGGTCCTTTTGGAAGGATTTGACCCACTCCAACCCACAGCACCCCCTCCCCCGCATAATTCTGCCCCCAGGCGCCCAGCTAGAGGGCAGGGTCCGCTGTGCCAAGGGCAGCAGAGAGATCCAGGAGGAGTCACGTGGAGGCCGGACCTTCGCCTACAGGGAACAGGCACTTTAAATAAAACTAAACAATTTAATACCAGCTTCCCGTCTAAAACACAGGACGGCCGCATCTCGCTCTTCCAGGACTGACCCCCCCCCCCCCCCCCCGTGACTTACTTGCGAGTAAAGCTCTCCGGTATCCGGCTGCACGGCTTTCCCCCTCCTGTTGCAAATATGCAGCCCTCCCTGTTCTCTTTGACGATTCAATGGCAAAGCCACCCCCCCGGCCCCCTTTGCTCGGACTCTCTAGGAAACAGCTCGCTCGCTTTAACCCTTTCAGTGCTGTAGACGAATGAATGAGAAAAGTTCCCTCCTCTTGTTCCCTCCACGAGGCGCAGCACCCATACCCGGACGGAGGGGACGAACTTCAGCCAGGCTGCCCTCAGCAACGCAGGTCAACGGAGCTCCTCACGAGTAGCTCTGCACGGGGGATCCCAGACTGATCAGCCCTCTCCGCACATCTAGCGGGGGTGGGGGTGGGTGGAGGCAAACTCCCGCCGGCTCCCCTTCAGCCATCGGAAGCAGGGCTCCCCACAAACTTCCTATCCGATGGGGCTTCAAGCGCTTTTACGACTGCACGGAAAATGTCTGTTCCTGTCCCCTGTCCACTCTTTCTCCCTCCAGCGAGCCCGCTCCCTCTCCCTGCCTAGGGGGTCGTGTTGGAAGTTTGCACCGTCGGAGTGGGTTGCCACCTCCTGCAGGGAAAATTCCTGGAGATCTGACCCCTTTCTCTTCCCTCGGAGGCTTTGGGGGACATACAAGTGGCTATTTTCAAGTGGGGGAGGTCTAAGGAAAGGACTCCTGCCCTCACCTCACTGTCCCTACTTCAAGGCAGCTTTAGGCAGGGCTGTGTGCGCACCACTGTGTGGTGAGACTCAGGGGTCCTGAGTACCAGCACCTTGGGGGGGGGGGGGGGCGTGCATTCTGCCCAGTCCTGAGGGGGAAACTGGTGGCAGGCCCTGGCTCAGTGGTAGAGCATCTGCTTGGCACACAGAAGGCCCCAGGCTCAATTCCCAGCATTTCCAGTGAGAAGGAGTCCTTCTGAAGGACAGAGGAGTAGGGGATGGGAAAGACCTCAGCCTGAGACCTTGGAGAGCCCCCTGCCTGTCTGAGTAGGCAATACTGACCTTGATAGACTGATGGTCTGATTCAGTAGAAGGCAGCTTCATGTGTTTATATGAGTACAGGCTTTCCCCGGCCACTCCCCAAAAGTTCTTTTGAGGGGTTCCCCTTATGCAGGGGGGCACAGTTCTGTGCAGTTCCCTTTCAGTTTAGTTGCAGGAGACGCCAGCTGTGCAGCATCCGGATCAAACAGAACCCTGTCCTGTGGACTTAGTGGGATGGGCAAAGGTGCAGGAACCTGTCTGCTTGCTGGATTCCCTGTGGATCCCTTCTCAGAAGCAGGGTGCTAGCGAGGGTCGATGGAGCGACAGCTGGGGAGAGTCCTTTCTGTGGGAATCTGATTCTCTTGGCCTGCTGTTCAGCCAGGACCAGGTCCATACCCCTGGGGCTAGATTTCCAGCCAACCCAATTAGTCAATGTCTTTTATGTCAGGAACATATTTGTGCAACCAATCCATTTAGAGTAGGGAACAATGCTTCTATGTTATTCCTGTTAAATGCCACATTTTCCAGTTTGTTTTCCAAGCTACTTCAGGGCCAAAAAGCAACTTCCTCAGTAGTGACAAATGTAAAATTGTAAAATTTAAAAATGTTGTCAAGACAAACATACTATCTGCCAGTAGAGGGCAATGCAGGATTGCTTTTCACAAACCAGCCCCATGAAGGCTGAGTTTCCAACTGGGAAATTTTTCTTAGGCTGTCTCTGAGGATCAAGGATCACCGTGTTGGTCTTCAATAGAACAGCAAGATTTGAGTCCAGGTCTCTTGTCAGTCTCTTAAGGTACTGCTGGACTTGAATCTTGCTGCTCTGAATCTGCTTCCACAGAGATGGGTTTTCGGAGTATCCACATGACTTCATCCCCAAATTGCACACCTTCTGTGCTCCCCCTCCCCTCTTTGGCTGCAGTGTTTTTCAAATATGATTTAGAATCTTCTAGAAAGATTTGGGGACTGGAAAGCAATTCTAAATAAAAGTGAGTTGGACCTATGGGCAAAGTACTGCAAGTTCCAATTGAGATCACTTTACTGGAATCTGCAGCGTATTAAGCAGGATAGTCACATGACAGCCGTAGACCTTTGAGATGCTTACCTGCATATTCTGTTTCACTCACCTTCCAGACAGTTCTTCCCTTTTTGATTTTCAGGGCCAGTGTTTCCAATACAAGGTCTTACCCTTTGGGCTGGCATCGTATGACAACAAGGAGTCCACCTTCATCCTTATCTGGACGATATCCTCCACAGAGCTAGGAAGCAGAAGAAGTGAGGTAGGATACCAAGTCTACTATGCAATCAATTTTTTAAAAAAGGTCATCTCACACCCTGCAGGGACATAATTCACTTAGGGGCCAGGATTCAGGTGAGGATGACTAAAATTGTTGGAAGCAGTGACAGAAATCTGGCAGAGATTGATGGACCACATGCACCGAGCTGCAGTACTGGGGCTGATGATCTTGTCCTGGGCCCTCTTCAACAGCAGGCCTTTACAAAGGACTTGTCTTCCTTATCAGAAGGACATTTTTTTAAAAAAAGTACAAATAAGTCAAGATATTGCCCCCCTCCCAAGAAGTCACTAAGTGGTCTTCATGACCAAATCTAACAAGAGGATAGCTCAAGATGGGTAGCCGTGTTAGTCTGTCTGTAGCAGTAGAAAAGAGCAAGTGTCCAGTAGCACCTTAAAGACTAACAAAATATGTGGGAGAGGAGGAGCTTTCGTGAGTCACTGAAGAAGTGAGCAGTGCCTCCAGTCTCATTACCTGATAGTAATTACGGACACTGGCAGAAGGGACCAGGGAGCACACTGCAGCGATCAGATTGTCCAAGGCAGATGGAGCCCCCTGGAAGAAATGAACAGAATGAACTGGCTGAAACCTGGGGCAATTACTAGCACTAATGGCCTTCCAAAACCTACTGCGGAACAAGTATGTGCTAGTGCACACAGTCAATACTACGGCCAAAGTGCGCATCAATCGGCAAGGAGGCACCAGATCAGTGGCACTCCTCCAAGATTCTGTTCAATTGGGCAAAGAAAAATTTGGTAGGTCTGAAAGCGGAACACCTATAAGGTCTTACAAACCCGCTAGCCAACTGGCTAAGCAGGAAGGACTTCAATCCAGGAGAATGGAGTCTAAATAAAAAGCTTTTCTGACAAAATCACACTTGGATTCCTACCTTGGATTTTTTTTGCAACACTGAACAACAGTCAAGTCACCAGGTTTCTAACCAGTTCCTATGATCTCACAGTGGAGGGTGAAGATGGACGCCCTTGTCGTTGACCCAGGGGTCTAATGTACTCCTTCCCTCCAACCACACTGATCAGCAGAGGCCTGAGCAAAGTGTCAAAAGAGGCAGCGGAGGTGATTTTCATAACTTCCTTCTGGCACAGAAGTTTTTGTGTCTCACAGCTAGTGAAGATGTCCATATCCCAACTATGGAGATTGCCAAGAACATAGGTTCTCCTTGTAGAAGAAACAGTTCATCATCCAGATCCTATTTGACTCCAGCTGACAGTTTAGAGCAGGGGTGTTTAGAGCGGAGGGCTTTTATCAGGCCTGCACTGGAACTAATGTTTTAAGCATATTTTTATTTTAAGTTAAAAAAAAATCTTTGTGTTTGTGTCCTTTATAAAGTTTATATCTCTGCTACCTGGCATTACATTTTATGACACACATGGCCCGGCCCAACAAGGTCTCATTTATGTCAGATCCGGCCCTCATAACAAATGAGTTTGACACCCCTAGTTTAGAGACTGAATGGGTGGAGTTTGAAGGATCAAACCTTCCAAGTTAAATGGTTGATATCATGGTACAGTAAAAAAAAAAAAACCTGATTCCAGTTGTCTCTGTAATCAGACCAGTTGTCTCAATAATCATATGTGGCTGACATTCAAAAGTGGCCAGTACCAAAATGTTGGTTCCATTGAAACCTACTTACAAAAGACATAATTATCTTTCTACACAAAGTTTGGAATCAGGTTCTAAGACCAGATACCTTAAAAGACACATCGCAGCACTGGCTGCTATGTTGGAGTGCAAAAGATTGCAAAAATTTTCTTCTCATAGGCATGTTAGGCCAGCTTAGTACAGTGGTTAAGAGTGGCAGACTCTAATCTGGAGAACCGGGTTTGATTCCCCACTCCTCCTCCACAGGAAGCCAGCTGGATGGCCTTGGTTCAGTCACAGTTCTCTCAGAACTCTCTCAGACCCCTCTATCTCACAGGGTGTCTGTTGTGGAGAGAGGAAGGGAAGGCGATTGTAAGCCGCTCTGAGACTCCTTTGGATAGTAGAGAGCAGGGTATAAAAAACCAATTCTTCTTCCTCAAAGGAACTATGTAGTAAGCACCTCCCATGAGACACAGGTTGCCTACTAGGAACCTTTCGAAAGTCTTAAAGGCCTTGAGCAGACCTCCATTTGAGCCCTACAAATAATCTGAACCTAAAGTTTTCTTCTCAGAAGACGTCTTTTCTCTTGCAGGGATGACTTCTGCAAGAAGGAATTCTGAACTAGGGGCTTTTTGGCCAGGCAGGAATTGTGTATATTTCACAAGGTCTCAGTGGTACTCAGGACAAAGCCTGGTACAACTGTCCTTTTGTCCTACACCATCTCATCTCAAAGCGAGAGTGTGGCACAAACTAGACATGCACAGGGCTCCGTGCTTCTGTTTCAGTAGGACGGCACAGATCAGGCCAAAGGATTTTCTGTCTCTGCCTCACAGATCACAGCCTTTAACTAGAAAGGTCTCAAGCCATGTATCTGAAAGGCATATGAAGTACAAGGCCTGGGACCTCCAAAGGATGTTACGGCCCACTCCACCAGATCTGCAGCAACATCAGTGACCTTTTCCACCAGGGTTCCAGTGGAAGAAATCTGTAGAGCTGCAACCTGGTCCACCTATTATACCTAGGTGAGACACTATAAGTGGGGCCAGTTAAAATCTGTGGAAGCTTCATCTGGTAGAAAGGTGCGCGACAGAGTGGTAGAAGAAAATAAAAATGAGTATCCCACCCGGGTTGTCGTTTGGGCATGTAACCAGCTTGGATAACTTTCCCCACTGAAGAAGAATGGAACATTGGAACTTACCTGAAGGTTTCTTCTCTTCAGTGGGCTGAAGTCATCCACATCCCACCGCAAAATAAACATGTAGTTGGACACAAAATCTGTTATGGATCTGGACTATGCTAAGACTGGATGGTCAGGCTCACCCTCAGCCAAAATATTCTACACAAATTTGCATAGTCCTGCCCAATGCTCACTCTAAGTTGTGGAGTTCTTGTGAGCAAAATTTCTATTTTGTGAGCTACTGGCATTAAAGTTGTGAGCGAGCAATTTGGCTACTGCATTAAATTAGTTTGCTCTGAGCATGCAGGAGGATTCTCCCGTGTGAGTGCTTTTGAAGATCACACCTCTGAACGGATTTTTTTCACTCTTTGCATTCAAAAGAGATGCTCCCGTTGAAGGCCTTTCCATACTCTGATCATTCAAAAGTCTCTCGCCTGTGCGAGTTCTTAAATGCTTGTGAAGATGGCCACTCTGAATATTTTTTATCCCCTAGGTGGGTTCTTAGATGCTGGTGCAGATGGCCACACTGACTGAATCTCTTTCCACACTCTGAACATTCAAGAGGTTTTGCACCTCTGTGTTTTGTTTTGTTTTTAAAAACATTTTTATTGCTTTTCTAAACTACAAATCTACAGGGTCAAGGGATGGGAACAACCTAAAATTAAGAGTAACAAGGATCCTTAATACAGAAATTTCAAATTGCTGATACATCCCTATTATCAAAGTAGTAAAGCGTGAGAGTTAATAATATAAAAATATCAAATTAAAAAGCAAGCAATCACAAACATATTTGACTGTAGTGGGTGCATCTTAGCTTTAAATTTATATGTTAACAATAGACATCAGACTATCAAAGTTAATCTACTTTGGTCGTTTCTTTCGTCTATGCTTCTTGTCAAAGTCCAATTTAATTTTTAGCCGTTTAGGGGCAACAGCCCCTAATTCTGCTTCAGTATCCAAAGACTCTGCCGAGCTACTCAAAGAGGTATCAGAACTTTCTCCAGCTTTATTTTTTTCTTCTTCTGCATCTTTGTTATCCTCCACTTTCTCAGATCCATCTGTCGCTTTCCGTTGTTGCTTCAAGAACATTTTCGCTTTAGGAACAGAGTCAATCTTTTCTTTTTTGCCATTGAAGCTGAAGATAAGGCCTTCCGATACTATCCATCTGTAAGGAGTGGAATTTGTTTTGCAAAACCAATGCTAAGTCTCTGTATTGTCGCCTCCTTTTTCTAATTTCAAATGGAACATCTTTTAAAACGTTAATTTGTTCTCCTTTGATTTTCAAAACATTTTGGTTGGTCGCTTTCAAAATTATATCCCTTGTGGACCTTTTTGTGAATTTCACGTATACTTCCCCGGGTAGCTTGTTGTTTTTTTATATAAATTCTGGATACGTACGGTAAACCAGATCAATATCGCTTTGTATAGTTTCCGCTGTTAAGCCTACCACAGGAGCCAGTTCTTGACTTAAAGTCTCTTTCAGATTCTCATCTTTCTGCTTCAGAATGTTTTGAAATCTCAGGACGTACGCTGATTTCTCCATTTGAAGAAGTAACCATTGCTGATCCCCAGAGATTTTCTCTTTTTCCACAACCTCCAGTCTTTGTCCATCTCTTTGGTCTTAACGTCAACTTTTTTCATCTTCTTGGTTACCTTCTCTGTTTTTGCTGAAGTTTCCTTGAGCTCCTTTTGCAATGTATCAAACTTGTCATTAAGGCTGGTCATCTGGTCCAGTAGAGGGCACAAAGCTGCAGCAATCATTTTAGGAAAGTCTGTGGTTACTTCCAGTTTGGTAGCCAGGGATGATGTGCTGGCAGTTCCTGTTATAAGTTTAGCTTTCGCCACCATTCTTTCTGCTCGCTGCATCATTGTTTACAATAAGAGAAAAGTTTAAAGTCTCTGAAAGTCCGATAATTTGCCGCTTTCTTGCTAATGGGCACCACTTTCATCCAAATTCAGCTTTCAAGCCGCCCTTTCAGTCCCCACTTAACTCAGTCTTTTCGGGATCGGGCATCCCCTCCCCCTTGTGCTTGTTTGGGGCTTTGGTGCAGCTTTACTGCTTGGTTTTAATCAATTGTTTGCTGAGTCGTGGATTCACTCACATTTTTACTTGCATTTGTTTAGCATATAGAGAGGATCATTGCTTCGGATCACTTGTGTGCTCTGGCTGGTATGCACCTCATTGCTGGCTCCGTGCCACGGGGACCTATCAGGGCAAAAAGGAGTCTTGATCTCTTGGCTTCCGCCTTGAGAGAGGCACCTCACGCGCCCCAGACTATGACCCCTCTACAAGAGGTCGAGGGCCCCCAAGATCAACTCGGACCCCTCCCCATCGGCATGTTTTGCGGGTTGCTCACCTGCCTGCAAGTCACCAAAAACTGGAACCCGACCTCTGTGTTTCTCGATGATGCTGAAGATTGTCTTCCCCAATGAATCTCTTCCCACACTATGAACACTCAAAATGTTCACCTCTCTATGGGTTCTATAATGTTGTTCGAGACGGCCAAGCTGACTGAAATTCTTTCCACACCCTTTGTGTGGGTTCTTATTTCCCCCAAAAAAACCTTTCATTAATTAAAGTTCAAGCAAACAATACACTCTCAAAAATTTAGACAGAACAAATTACATATCAAGTATAGGAGCAGTAAACATGAATAAACTATGATTTGAACACCTATACGGTTGAACATAACAGAAAACTTATACCAAATTCAAACAGTAGAAAACAATTATGTGCCCTAAATGTTCTTTGATGTTATTTACGGTGAACATGAAGTAAAGACAAGAAGACATTATGCACTAGAGTCCACATTATTATAATAAAATCAAAAACATTACACCCACTCAGTTAATTGAGACCGTTCAGATGAAATAAATTGCTGCTGAGATAGATTCTCTAAGACTGGAAACCATTTTGCAGTGAAGAGCGTTTCAGTTGTTGAGCCCTACAGTTCAATTTTTCTGTGACTGAGTCCATGAGGTAGTGGTTCCATAGTTTACGATACCATATTGCAATACTGGGTGGTTTAGCATCCTTCCAATTAGATGCAATTGCTGTTTTGGCAGCGTCTAACATTACATCAATGGTAGCTTTATGTTGTCGATTGGATAATTCTGTGGGCCAAAAATCTAGAAAGATAGTCTCTGGTGCTAAAGGGACATTCACTGAAGTGACCATTGTAATTACAGACAACAGTTCCTTCCAAAAGGCCTGGATTTTTTCACATCTCCACCAACAATGTGCAAAATCTCCAATTTGGAGGTATTCTTTCCAGCAATATGGGGATCTATCAGAGGAAATATGAGAGTCTGCAAGGAGTGGCATACCATCAGATCATAATTTTCAGATTTTGAAGGCGTATCGACTGGACTTTGAATTAAAAGAAGTAGAGTTCCACAAATTAGTCCATAACTCATCAGAGAGAGGGACAGTTTATTAAAAGAAGCAGTGATTAGAAGGGAATATAAAGCAGAGATTAGGCCTCGGTTTTGGGAATCATAAGAACATAGTATAAATTCCAGATTAGTCTTGGGTTTGGCCAGAAAAGTAGTGAGATTAAGATGTCTAACCATATGGCTTAGTTGCAAATAAAGACACCATTTTTTTGTAGCTATATCTATGATACGGGTTACTTTTTGAGATCTCCAATGCTTTACCATATTTACATCAGTCCCTGCCAAAAAACAGTCCTGGTTCAGAAAGGTATAATATCGAGATATTTCTGGGAGAAGACTTTTAGCGTTTCTCTTCCAACACTGAATAGAAGGATATAGTATAATAATGTCCAAAACCAGTACTTTTCCTTTGTAAAAATCAGTTGTTTCCTAATTTTTGTCATTTCCAGTAGTGCTAGATTTTTGTGTTCAAGCAAAAGTTGCTTGTATAATTTTTTGTTGCCTCTTTCCTTATGCAGACGTTCTAAAGTCTTAATTTTTCCCAAGATATCTAATTCTAACTTTTCCCTCCATCTTTTTAGATTTGAAGCCTTAGATATCAAAAGTCCCCTCAATACCAGCTTTAACGTATCCCATCGGATAACTGGAGATGTCAAATCCTGGTCGTTCTCCTTAAAATATCTGTTGATACCGCATTCAATCTCTTTACGTAGTAATGGGTCATTTAATAAAGACGTATTCAAAGTCCATTGTCTATGTTTAGGTGATTGATCATATGGGGTATGGATACAGTCCAACCACGAGGGGTCCGACCATTGGGATGGTTCAATGGATGCCGATAATGATCTTGCACAGAGGATGAGATTAATATGAAATCTATTCTAGTGTAAACGTTATGTCACCCTGAGAAGTAGGTATAGTCTTTGACATTTGGATGTAAAAGGCGCCAAATATCAACGAGACCATTATCACAAAAAATGTCCACCAAACCTGTGAAGCACTTCTTATCCACTTTTAAATGAGAATTATAATGAGACCTATCTAATTTCTTACCAAAAAATTAAAGTCTCCCCCAAGAATGATGTCTCCCTCTGCAAAAGATCTAAGTTTATTCATAGTGTCTTGTATAAAAGCCAATTGACCATTATTGGGGGCATACAATGTAGCTATCATAGTTAGACAATTATCCAGAAGTCCTTTCACAAAAAGTAATCTGTCCTGAGGGTCACCAAGCTTAGAAAGAAAGGAAAAGCATACATTTCTGGACAGCAGAATAGCAACACCCTCAACTTGGATGTGCCACATGCCATGTATTGAGCCTGAAATTTAGATGAGTTGAAGACCTTTTCAGTGAGTTTTTTAAGATGCGTCTCCTGAAGGAGTGTAATATCTGGATTGTGCTTCAGCCAACTGGATAAAATGCATTTACGCTTAATTGTATTATTAATGCCCTGGACATTGGAAGAAACCACTTTCAAAGCATTATAAGTCACGGTGAGTCACACACTGCCTTGGAAATAAAACAAATGAAATATTAGTGACAATTAGCTCTGGTAAATAGAGGCTGCGGTCACACGCAACATTAGCCACGCAAGAGATACGGAAGACAGGCGGAGTTTCCGGGCGCGATCTCACCAGCACATCTGGGGAGCGTAGCGCTTCTGTGGCACAACCGAGGCTTCCTCCTGAAAACGCGCAGCAAAAAACGAGTACCTCAGAGTTACTAGTTTCCGGAAACTGCGGGGCAAGGGCGGGCGTCTGATCGCGTTTCCGGTGGCATCCGGCGCCCGCCCATGTCCCCTTGCGAAGAAGGGTTTTTTTCCCCCCAAGTCTCTGTGGTTGCGCACATGCACCCAACGGAGCATGCACATTCGTAGTGTACACAAAAAAAGAAAACCAGTTCGCCGCGCTGCGCGCTTCTTTGTTGCACGCAGGCATGTGTTGTGATCGACACCTCTCCATAACCACGGAAGCTCCATGGTACCTCCACAGAACCTCCACAGGAGGTATGATCGCTTTACTGCGTGTTACTTTGCCCCGGGGCAAACAGCCACGCTTCCCCCTCGCAGTTTCCTGCCCGTGTGACCGGGCCCAGAGTAAAGATTATATTTTTGAAAATCAAATAAAATTTATTTAAAAAAAAACAGAGTAAAGTATCTTCAGCAGCTAGTTCAATTTAAATCAATGCCAGGTAAAGATCAACAGAAAGTCAAGAAGTAAGAACCTTAAACAATTCACCAAAATTCGAAGTAGACTACTACTACTCAGATAAGAAAAGAAACTCACCTCAACAACACACTTTCATTGAGGGTGTGATGTGTTCAAAAAGAAAAAAGAAAGGAAAAATACGGTTATATGATTCCTAAATTCTTGTCTTTGTGCTGAACCAAGAAACATTGATATTCTAGTGCATCAATTATATTAGCCATAATTTTTTATTTTCCTTTTTAGTTTTGTTTTCAGATGAGAGATAAATTGTGATAATGATGTTTTAAGTTTTTACTTACTTAGTCCCTATTAGTTGAGAACAATGCTAAAACTCTGTAAAATAAAATCACAATATTAATATTTAAAACTGATCAACATAAAATATCCAATCAGAGAATTTTATTTTAAAATTAATATCTGAGCAAGTTGATAATTAAATAATTGATTTCATTTCAATAAAATGTTTTAACAATTAATTAACTATAAATCTATTAGTATTAAATCATATATATATAGTCAGAAAGTTCCCAATGCACTTGCAAGCTTCAGAGAAGCTCCAAGAGGCTAGACTGTACAAGTCCCGCTAGTAGTTGTGGGAACAGAACAAGTTTTGTGAGGCTAAAAACAATCAATTCAGCCCGAGCCCCCCCCCCTCCATTTTATAAACCTAGTAATTGATTTTTCTAAGTAAATCTGTATACCTTAGAAAATCAGTTTCGTGTAAGTGGCATATAATCTTAAAAGACTAATTCATTATTAAGAGCTAACAAACCCTTAAAAGACTAATTCAGTAATAAGATCTAACAAACAGATCACTTAAAAGGCAAATTCATTATCAAGATCTAACAAACAGAACACTTAAAAGGCAAATTCATTATTAAGATCTAACAAACAGAACACTTAAAAGGCTAATTCATTTTCAAGATCACACAAACAGAACACTCAAAAATCTTCAAAAACGATCCTTCAATAAAGCCATAGATCACCCACCACCACCTTCCTTCCCATCAGAGGCATGATGTATGAATATATTCTACAGCCGGAGGGTTGGGAGACAACATCAACAGGCATTAATAAGAACTCCGCTGCTGTTCTACTGTCAAGGTGATGATCTGGCCAGTTGTTTGTTCTCAAGCAGCAGAGGAGATGAAGAAGCGAACTTCCTTTTTTGGGATCTCTGAGCTACTTCCATAGGCACTTCTAGATCTAGGATGCGAAGCAAAGTTGACCCTTCTTCCAGAGACACGATTCTGTATGTCTTTCCCATATGTAAGACTTGTAGTATTAGAGGCGAAACCCATTTGTATCGGTGATTTGCTTCCATAAGACGCGCTGTTATGGGTTTCAGTTCTCGCCTTTTTTCTAGAGCCTCCTGAGGAAGATCAGGATAAACTTCAACTTTTTCTCCTTGGCACAGTACATGTCCTCGCTGTCTAGCCTTCATCAGAATCTGCCTTTTAAATCTCAAATCCAACACCGTAATTAGTATGTATTTGGAGGATCAGGTTTTAAGCACATTTAAAGAACCAATTCTGAAGGCTTTCGTTGTAACGGGCAGCATCTTACCTTCCATTTGCACTTCATGAGTTAGCCCTGTAGACAGGAAGCTAGCAAGATTTTCAGCCCCTCCTACTTTTTCCACCAGCCCTCTCAATTTTAAATTATTTTGACGAAGAGAGAAGTCTAGTTTCAGTGTTCTTACTGCCACAGAATGTCTTCCCCGTGGTGAATGTCATTTTGGTTTACTAGGCTCATGTTCATAGCACTTTCCGCTATCGCCCGAGTATCCTGAAGGTTTTTTTGCATGGAGTCTAACTGGTCATACATTGGTTTAAGCATAGATGAAATATTGTCTAAGATCGTCTTCTCCATTTTATTTAAAGCAGCTGATAGATCGGCTGAAGTAATCGGGGCAGTGTTCTTATCAGCTCCCGGTGTGGTCGGAGCCATTTTAGCACAGAGAGGTGCTGGACGGACAAAAAAGCTCCTGATTGTGACATTATTTTAGACTGTACCTTTTCAATTTTAGTAGATTTGTGATGAGGGATTGCACGGCCGTTTTTCCCCAAATAGCAAAGTTCCAATCTGTCAAATTGATAGCCACAATGACCGATGAGAAGGAGAGGGCTTATGGAGCAAAAGTTTTAGGCAGGCATTTTCTCTGAGCGCCACCACGCCCCCCCTTCGTGTGGGTTCTTAGATGTCGTTGAAAATTGCTACGGTGACAAAATCGCTTTCCACACTCTGAGCATTCAAAAGGTTTCTCCCCTGTGTGGATTCTTTGATGTAGTAGGAGATTGCTGCTTTGACTAAACCTCTTTCTGCACTCTGAGCACTCAAAAGGTTTCTCCCCTGTGTGAGTTCGTAAATGCTTGTGAAGATGGCCACTCCGACTGAATCTCTTTCCACACTCTGAGCATTCAAACGGTTTCTCATTTGTGTGGGTTCTTAGGTGGCTTTGAAAGTCACAATTTCGACCAAATTTCTTTTGGCACTCTGAGCATTCAAAAGGTTTCTCCCCTGTGTGGATTCTTTGATGTAGTTGAAGATGGCCACTCTGACTGAATCTCTTTCCGCACTCTGAGCATTCAAAAGGTTTCTCCCCTGTGTGGGTTCTTTGATGCCGTTGAAGATGGCTACTCTGACTGAATCTCTTTCCACACTCCAAGCATTCAAAAGGTTTCACCTTTGTATGGGTTCTTACATGCCGTTGAAAACTGCTACTGTCACACAGTCGCTTTCCACACTCTGAGCATTCAAAAGGTTTCTCTCCTGTGTGGATTCTTTGATGTAGTAGGAGATTGCTGCTCTGACTAAATCTCTTTCTGCACTCTGAGCACTCAAAAGGTTTCTCCCCTGTGTGTGTTCTTAAATGCTTGTGAAGATGGCCACTCTGACTGAATCTCTTTCCACACTCTGAGCATTCAAATGGTTTCTCATTTGTGTGAATTCTTAGGTGGCTTTGAAAGTCACAATTTCGACCAAATTTCTTTTGGCACTCTGAGCATTCAAAAGGTTTCTCCCCTGTGTGGATTCTTTGATGCAGTTGAAGATGGCCACTCTGACTGAATCTCTTTCCACACTCCGAACATTCAAAAGGTTTCTCTCCTGTGTGGGTTCTTAAATGCTTGTGAAGATGGCCACTTTGACTGAATCTCTTTCCACACTCCAAGCATTCAAATGGTTTCTCATTTGTGTGGGTTTTTAGGTGGCTTTGAAAGTCACAATTTCGACCAAATTTCCTTTGGCACTCTGAGCATTCTAAAGGTTTCTCCCCTGTGTGGGTTCTTAGATGCTGTTGCAGATGGCCACTCTGACTGTATCTCTTTCCACACTCCGAGCATTCAAAAGATTTCTCACCTACATGGGTTTCTTGATGATGCTGAAGACAGACAGCCCTACGGAATTTCTTCTCACACTCTGAGCATTCAAAATGTTTCTCCCCTGTGTGGGTTCTTTGATGCACAAGGAGCTCTGATCTGAATTTAAAGTACCTTACACACCAAAAGCATTTACATTCCTTCACTACAATATTCCTTGGGAAATACACATTACACTGTCTTCCATCACAGGATGTCATTCCACTCTCTGAGCAGATAAATGACTTCTCTCCTGAGTGAATGCTTTGTTGTTTAATAAGGTCCAATTTCTGTGAGAAACTCTCAACACAGTCTGAGCAACTATAATGTTTTTCTCCTGTATGTGTCTGTTGATGTTTAAGGAGCTCAGCACTGCAAAGGAAGCTCTTTTCACATTCCAAACATTGATGGGTCTTCTTTCCACTCTGCATTTGCAAATGGATACTATATTGGGTGAGGTCTGAGAAGGTTATTCCACACTCCAAGCACTTGTATATTTCCTCCACCATGTGAATTGCTTCATCGAAATCCCCCCCTTGGCAAGGAACAGGTTCATCCCTCTTCTCAGCTATATGGCTGCCATTCTGCCTCTTAGGTCTGCCTTGATTCTTGAAGTTTCCTCTCAGGTCTTCATTCTTGACTTCATCTGGGGACAGATGATGCAGTTCCTCATCCTCCTCGTTCCTCTGATCATCTTCTGTTGGAATAAAGGGACAGATCCCATTAGCACCCATACAAGGAGGTATGATTTGCATTGGAAATTCCATCCACACTCAAAGCATTTTAGTGGCTGCCTCATATTTATTTATTTGATTTGTACCCTGCCCTCCCGGTCAAGGCAGGTACGTTGAGATGTACATGTTAAATATACATGTTAAAAGTGGCTTATTGCCAGCCTGTGTGGTCCATCTCTGAAGTTCGCGTTTATATCCCGCCCTATCCTGAAGGCTCAGGGCGGCTAACAGGGGCACAAAGTGCCAAGTTAAAACAATAACATATAATTTAAAAACAATAAATTACAATAAGATATAAACAATTTACAGCAAATTTCCAGCAAGAAGAGATCTTAACCTCATATAGCTACCAACGATCTTATCCTCAGAGCCGTGTCTAGCGCCACGCTCCACCCTTGGGGGGCCAGGCAATCAGATGATTGTTCGCTAGGGCATAGGGGGTACAGATGGAATAGTGGTGGCGGCGGCTCCTATCCAAAGGCCTGGCGGAAGAGCTCCGTCTTGCAGGCCCTGCGGAACTGAGAAAGGTCCCGCAGGGCCCGGATCTCCTCCGGGAGCTCTTTCCACCAGTTAGGAGCCGCCACCGAAAATGCCCTAGCCCTAGTCACAGCAAATTTAACTTCTCTCGGGCCTGGAATTTCCAGGAGATGCCTTCCTCCCGACCGACGTGCCCTTGGGGGAACATATGGAGAAAGGCAGTCCCTCAGGTAGGCTGGGCCCTGGCCACAAAGAACCCCTGGAATGCTTCAAGTGTCTACTCTATATCTGCTGATGGAATCAAGGTAGACGTCCAATCAGCACCTACACCGGAAGCGAAGTCACCAATCAGCGAAGTCACCCCATTCACGACTGTACATTCCTTTGGCAGAACTTCTCCCCCCCAAACATGTTTGCTGTGGGGGAGGGAGAAGCCAGGACCTCACCAAGTGAACACCACAACCCAAAGGGTACCCCCCCCATGGTTTTTGAAAGAGATATCAGTTGGGGGGGGTATTAAGGTAGCTAGGTGACGACTGAAGGGAAGTGTTGATGACCCTTTTGCCTCATTCAGCCTGGCTGTTTTTAATTAACCTCTCCTCTGTTTCCCCATTACTCTCTATTGATCAAGTGAAAGCCATATCTGGTGGGAGGAGTCAACTGTAGGGCCTTTTCCCCAAAGATCTAGGGGGTTCCCTCCCTGATAATCTGGCCTGAATAACGACCCAAATAATCAAGACAATAAGCAATGGGCCAGCCCCAGGCCTTGCTTCGTTATTTTAAGTGCTGGACAGGAATATTTCTCTCCCTTCTCCATCTACCAGCCAGTTTGGTGTAGTGGTTAAGAGTGTGGACTCTACCTGGGAGAATCAAGTTTGATTCCCCACTCCTCCACATGCAGACAACTGGTGTGACCTTGGGTCAGTCATAAGTTCTTTCAGAGCTGTTCTGTCATGAACAGTTCTCTTAGAGCTCTCTCAGCCCCACCTACCTCACAGGGTGTCTGTTATGGGGAGGGGAAGGGAAAGGAGATCGTAAGCCGCTCTGAGACTCCAAGTGAAGGGCGGGGTATAAATCCAATCTCTCCTCTCCTACTCAGCCTATCTAAACTTTCAGTCTCTCTAATGAAACACTTCTTCTTGAGACACCTACCTGTAATGCTTCCGAGATCAGACGAGATCAGGCGTGGTTTGTTTGTTTTTTTGCATTACTACCTGTAATGCAAAAAAAGAACTCCCATCCACAATGCACACAAAACCCCCTTCTCAAATTAACTCATCTCAAGAGATTGACACTTCATCACTCCCACATTCCAGTGCCAACACTTTTTCTCCTTCAGCAGAAATGTATAAAAAGTGATCCCTTAGTCCATCCAGTCTGTAGCAGGTTTTAGACCCCAGCCTCTTCCCCCAACTGTATGCTTGGCTTCTCTCCTTTTTTCCTTTTTCTTTTAATACTTTATTTTAAATTTTTATAACAATAAACCATGTCATTAATATCATGTAGTAACAAATTGCTTAAGACTTAACACAGAAACAGCTACAACAACAACAAAAACTATAATACAACAATAACAATCAGGGGGTATAATGTGGGTAAATTGCTAATAACCATGTTAACAATCATGGTAAGAATTTTGCAATAACCACATTAAAGAAGGCAGCTTATCTTTAAAAAATTGGAATAATGATACTCTTGGGAATAACTCTGATTGTCAAGTATCTCATCTAAGTTTCCCAAAATTGGGAACCATCTTTCTAAATAATTAGAAGGACCTAGAGAAGGATCACAGCAGGATATTGTATCCAAAATCTTGCCCATTATGAGGTGGCTTCTCTACTTTTCCATCCTTATTCAGCTGTGCTCCTCCAGAGCTGCCCAACTGTCTTCAGGAAGCAGGCTTGTATGTCTTTGATTCTTCCCTTTTATTTTCCCCCTTAGTAGGAGGAAGTTTGTAAGGTAAAGAGATTAGACTGTGTTTGTACTTCACACGTGCATTTATTTCCTTTCAGTAGCACCTCTGTTTTTATTTCCCTGACCTAACCTAGTTCTCTTTCTGTTAACTTAATAAATTTATGTTCTTGTTTAAGGAGCTCATACCCTTCATTTCCTTTGAGTGCTGGTCTGTATCTCGACCGTGGTAGACATAGGTTTACAATCCCGGGAATTAAGAGCCCACAATACGTGTGTTTTCTCTTTGCTAGCAGGAGGATGCTTTTGCTAGCCACAGGGGTGGACGTCCATGAGTGATTTGGGTCACAGACCCTTTTCTGAGGGCCTCTCAGCCTCTCCTGGGCTCCATGCCAGGATACCCTCTCTGGCTTGGGTGCTGGCCACAACACAGGCCTCACTTGCCCCTGGGCCAGCCAAGTGGGTTGGGTTGCTCTCCCAGGCCATGCTGAAGGTCACTTTTACTGCCACCCCGACTCCTCGAGACCCCAAACAGGGGACAGGCAGTGGGGCAGGCCTGAAAACGATGCATTTGTGTTCCGTATTGATTCACGCCTCATCCCTATGGCAGCAATTCTCACCCATGAAAGATCCTCACCCAGAGAGGCCACGCTCCTGTAGTTCTCCAGCATGACTTCCCTGTAGAGAGCTCTCTGGCCCGGATCCAGTAGGGCCCACTCCGCCTCGGTGAAATACACGGCCACCTCCTCGAAGGAAAAGGGACCCTGAAAGAAAAAGCAGATTCCCTCCTCAGAGATCATGACAGGCAGAGAAGGCACACTGGAAGGGGGCAGTCTGAGAGGGCGCAGGATGCAGAGCTTGGCATGGGCAAAGGGAGTGGCACTCAGAGCCTCTCTCCCTCGGACACCTTAGCAGCGACCGCAGGAGTAAAAGCCCCTCTGTGAAAGGAGGGGGAACCCAGGCTGCCCCCCGCTCATCTCCTCTACCTGGACTGGAGGTAGAGCAGCTCTTTCCACACCTCTGCCAAGACGATGGCTGAACACCACCAGTCCACTGCCTGAGAGGGAGAAAAAGAAGGAGGAAAGTTTGTTTGCTTGTTAGAATCCTGCTTTGCAAAAAAGAACTACTCAGCCTATCTAAACTTTCAGTCTCTCTAATGAAACCTCCCTCCCAGGGCTGTGAAACCTTTCCATAGGCACATTCCACAGAATTTGCAATGAAGCACCAGAGACTCTAAAAACCAAGATGTGGCTTTGGCATATATGAACATTCTAGGGTAATTCCGATGGGTTTCCAGAATGTCTTCTAATGCTCTGACATCACATCCAGTCCATGCGCTACCCCCAAACATCACAAGGGTTCCAGGCTACAGGCTGGCATCCATACTCTACTCTCCTTTTTCTGACTTATGGCCCATGAGATGCTCCCGAAAAGCTTTTAAGCAGGGGCACAGAAGGCAAATGTTGGCCACTGGCCATGCATTTTCAGAGGTATGCTGCCCCAGAACATGGAGGTTCCATTCATTTGCCATGGCTAATAGCTGCGCCCAGAACTGCATTCTTATTACCTTTCAAGTAAGTGGTCATCACTACATGCTATGGAACTGAATGCCAGAACTTTACTCTGTATTTTGTGCAGAAGTAGTGTTCTAAACCTTCCACCCAACAACTACACTGTATGCACCAATCCCATCTGGCCACAAAACAGCCTTACCACCTGAGAGGGCATCTTGGGCAAGCTCCTGGGCCTGAGCCCTTTGCCCTTCCTCCGAAGGAGATCCTTCCTCCTCAGAGAACTCTGCTTCCATCTTCACTGATGGTCCCCACATCTGAAAGAGGAGAAAATGAGATGGGTAAGAGAAGGACTAGAACAGGCCGAGGAGGCATATCCTACCCCATTCCCAGAGTTCTCACCCCTCCATCAACCAGCATTGCTCATTCAGCTACAGGGGCAAGAATCAGGGTCGGGTTTCCTTTCCAGCCTAGTGAATTCTATAGAGGCAGAAATATCTAGCTGGGAAGACTTAGCATAAGGCCGTTGCTTGAAGTGAGTGGAGAAAATGCCCCCTCACCTGCTCTGCCTGCCTCTTCTCCTCTGCCTGACTTAGGAGGAAACCTTCAGCCAGGGCCACTGCCTGAGAACTGGTCTCAGGCCCACATCCTCTGACCCAGCACTGCATCTCCTGGGGTAGGATGGCCAGGAACTGCTCCAGGATCACCAGGTCCAGGATCTGCTTCTTGGTATTCCTCTCTGGCTTCAGCCATTGGTTGCAAAGTCCATGGAGCTGGCTGCAAACCTCTCGGGGCCCACTGGCCTCATGGTAACAGAACTGCCAGAAGCATCGGCTGCGTGTATCTGCAGTCATCGTGTCCTAAACCAAGATCTCTGGTACAGCTTCTTCCCAAAATTCAGTACCACTTCCTGCTTGGATGGGATGGAGACCTTTCCTAGATCTCTTGGCAGTTCCAGGGGCTTCTGGGTCCTCCTCTTCCATCTCCTTCCCCTTCGATGGCCTCTGACTGTGGAAAGACACTCCTATTCATTTGCCTACAAAGACAGAGAGGAAAACATATCAAAAAGACAGAGAGAAACCAATAAGTAGTGGAACTACATCACCAACCCTGGTCAAAAGACACCTAAAGATTGCCCCAATGAATCCACTGGAGATTCCTCGTTAGTTTGCGGATCAGTATTAATGTCATTGTAGTATATTACCTAGGTCCCGGTCACACGCGAGGATTTGGGCCGGGAGAGGGACGGGACGGATGCGCGGCAAATGGGCGTGATCCAACGGCAACATCTGGGAAGCGTTGCCTGGCCGTCACCGATCCGTCCCTCCCGCCCATAACCCCGCACCAAAAAAGAACCATCTACCTGGGTGGTTCATCCGGAAAGGCCGCGGCAACAGTTCGCCAGCCTCCCCCTCCCAGCGTCGCTTTCTCCCCGGCATCTGATCGTGCTAGGGAGCAACGGCGCTGCGTCTCAGGGGATCCGTGGGATCCCGCCACGGCGTCTCTATTTTGGTGCGGCTCAGATTAGCCGCACTTCTGCCGCCGTTTTTCCTGCCGTGTGGCAGGGCCCTATAAAGCTTTTTTAGGTATGCCTGTTTGGTCCTTCAGGAAAGTAAACCATATTTATTTGGCTTTCTTACACATCTGTTGTCCATGTTATGCTCTTGGCCTCCAGTTACCACGTATCAGAGAAGGAGCTGCTCTCAACATAAACTGGAGCCCGGGACAAAGCAACTGGTAAGGGCTTAACCACTGCAAATACCTCCTCCATAGGCTGGATGCGTTTGGCAATAGCTCAGTCCAAGTACTGGGGGGGGGCAAAGAAGCATGAAGCCTCTCCAGGTTAGGGCAGAGGGGGTCCCTGGATGAACAGGGGGAGGCAAAGAACCCCCAGGAAAATGGGAGACGGTGCGTGACGTAATGCCTCAAGTGCTTTTTGTATGTGGAGCAGCCAATGGGCTTGTATGATTCACCCCATGTGATCACGCCTGGGAGTCCTTTCTGGGCCTCTCTACAACCACCATGCCTGAGAATTTATTTTTAGGTATTTTAATTTACAAAACCCAGATCCCGTCTTTCTGCCTCCACCAAGGCAGCTAACAAATTAAAACATTTATGTCTGTATTAATGTTATTAAAGTCCACCTTTTTCCCTGGGACTCAATACAGTCAATAGGATGGGTACATTCAATAAACTATGAAATAGAATTCAGGTTGTAGAACCAACCAGAAATCTGAAAAACAGTATCGAAGGAAAGCATGAACCACTACATGATAGTAGGGTACGGTTTAGAGCAGTGCAAAAATTACTTCATAGGATACTACTTACAATAAGCTACACAAATTAGTACCCTGACTTGGATAGCCCAGGTTAGCCCCATCTCATAAGATCTTGGAAGCTAAGCAGGGTCGGCCCTGGCTAGTATTTGGATGGGAGATCTCCAAGGGATACCAGGGTTGTGAGGCAGAGGCAGGCAATGGCAAAACTTTGTGAGCATTGCGGGGAGGGCGGGGCATAAATTGAATAAAATAAATAAATAAATAAATTTGAACGTCTCTTGCCTTGAAAACCCTACAGAGGTACCGTAAGTCAGCTGTGACTCCAAGTGACTTTGAATCATTTTGGACAATGCTACCCTATTACTTTTGTAGAAAAGCCCTCATAAATCATTCAGGTTCCCAGCATTTGTGGAATGCCAGGAGAGTGGGGGCCTTTCTGATCTCCTCAGGCAGGCAGTTCCACAAGTTGGGAATTTTAAAGGAGGAGGCACGTGGATGGGCAGTGGTTGATTCTGCCCATGTGCCAGGTGGGACCTGCAGAAGTCCCTGCTCAGATAAGTGAAGTTGTTATGGCAGAGCATAAGGGGAGAGACTGTCTTGCAGGTATGAGGCTCCAAGGCCATGAAAGGCTCTGCATGAGATAGCCAGTCCTTTAAATTGAGCCCTGTAACTGATGGGCAGCCAGTGGAGTGATTGCAGGACAGGAGTAGAATCATCAAATCACAGAGTTGGAAGGGGCCATACAGGCCATTTAGTCCCACCCCCTGCTCAATCCAGGATCAGTCTAGAGCGGTGGTGGCGAACGTATGGCACGGGTGCCAGAGGTGGCACTCAGAGCCCTCTCTGTGGGCACCCGTGCCATCGCCCCAGCCAGGCCCAGACTATCATTAAAGTGTTGAATTCTCTGCCAAATAATTTAAAGTAAATGAAAGCATTTGGGATTGCTTTTCTTACTTTGTTTGGATCATCTTAAGTTAATGTATGAGTTGTTTTTTCTAAAGTAAAACCTCAGTATTCAGGTTAAATTGCCGTGTTGGCACTTTGCGATAAATAAGTGGATTTTGGGTTGCAGTTTGGGCACTCGGTCTCTAAAAGGTTCGCCATCACTGGTCTAGAGCATCCCTGACAAGTGTTTGTCCAGCCGCTGCTTAAAGACCGCCAACAATACTCCCTCTAAGCTATATAGGCTTGTGAGCAAAAACTCTACTTTGTGAGCTACTGGCGTTAAAGTTGTGAGTGAGCAATTTGGTTACTACATAAATTAGTTTGTTCTGGAGCCATCCTTCCTGAGCTAAGGCAAAAATTCGTGAGCTGGAGGCTAAAAAACTGTGAGCTAGTTCATACCAACTCAGCTTAGAGGGAACACTGCCAGTGAGTAATATGCATGCTTCATCTAGTTGCTGATAATAGCCAAGTTTTGGCAGTCTGCACCAACTGGACTTCCCGAATTAACTTTGAGGAGAGACCCATGTATAGTGCATTACAGTAGACTAGTCTCGATGTCACCATGACAAGGATTCAGGTGGCCAAATCCACCTTATCAAGGTAAGGCTAGGCTGAGTTGGAAGGAAGCCTTTTCTGCAACTGCATTCTCCAGCAATCCTCTTGGGTCCCATTAAAACCCTGAGGCTCTTAAGGGAGCCAGCAAGGGTCAGCTGAACTCCATGGAAAGCGGGGAGCAGAATGTCCTTCATGACCTCCACTTTCCCAACCGGCACCACTTCTGTCTTTCCAAGATTTCATTTCGATTTGGTCACTCTTCAGCATTTAACCATAGCAGCCAGGCAGAAATTCAAGACCTCCACGGCATTACCAGGAAATGTGGATAAGGATGTAGATAGCTGTGTGCATTTGCAGATAGATGACAGTTAAGCCCCCAACTACAAATAGTTTGGCCTTAGGGGTTTACATAAAAGGAGAGGCGCATTGGGGCGGGGGGGGGGGGGGTTGCCCAAATGGATACCTGATCTCCAGTGGCCATTCTTTGGGTCCCGCCCGTGAGGAAGGATTTGACCCACTCCAGCCCACAACCCCATCACATGCCCAGTTCTGCCCCCCCAGGTTCCTCAACAGGAGGGCAGACAGAGTCCTATGTGCCGACGGCAGCAGAGAAAGCCAGTTGGAGCCACAAGGAGGCCCGACCTTTGTCTACAGGGAACCGGCATTTTAAAACGATTCATTACATTTCAGAACAATGTAATACCAACTCCCTGTAGGGTTGTCCACCTTCAGGTGGTGGCTGGAGCTCTCCTGCTAGTACAACTCATCTCCAGGCCACAGAGGTCACCTGCAGAAAATGGCCCCTTTGAAAGGGGGGGGGCTCTATTGCATTACACCCCCTCCCCTCCTCAAACTCCCCTCCCAAAATCTCCAGGTATTTCCCAACCTGGAGCTGGCAACCCTGTTTCTCTCTTCCAGGACTGAAAAGTTTATCCCCACCCCCACCCCATGACTTACTTCTGAGTAAACCATCCGGCTGGTTTCCTCCTGGTGCAGATCCGAAGCCCTCCCCGGCCTCTTTGGCCGTTCAATAGCAAAGCCTCCCCCCCCCTCGCTGGAGAAGACCTCCCCCCCCGCGCCTTGCACGGCCTCTCTGGGAAGCGGCTCGCTCAGTTTAACCCTTTCAGTGCTGCAGACGAATGGATGAGAAAAGCTCCCTCCGTCCTCTCCAGGAGGCGCCGCGCCCAGACCCGGGCGGAGGGGACGGACTTCAGTCAGGCTGCCCCCAGCCTATAATACAGCTCGACGGGGCTCCTCGGGAGTAACTCTGTATGGGGGATCCCAGGTATATTTACCTAAAAGGGGGGGGGGGGGGGAGGAGAGAGAGAAGGAGATGGAGGCAAACTCCTGCCCACTCCCCGTCAGCCATCCGAAGCCGGCCTCCCCACACAAGCCTCCGATTCAATGGGGCTTCCTCCCAAGAAAGCGGGTTTATGATTGCACGGGAAATGCCTGTCCCTGTCCCCTCTTCCCTGTTTCCCAAAACTACCCCGCCTGGGAGCCCCCTCTCTCTCCCTGCCGAGGGGGGTGGGGAGGATCCTGTTGGGAGTCTGTCCTATCGGAGAGGGTTGCCACCTCCTGCTTGGGAAATGCCTGGAGATTCCGTGCGCCTTGGTGTTTAGTCGTGCCGGCCACATGACCACGGAAACGTCTTCGGACAGCGCTGGCTCTTCGGCTTTGAAACGGAGATGAGCACCGCAACACTAGAGTCGGACTCGACCGGCTTTCGAGCAAGGGCACCTTTACCTTTACCTTCCCTCAGAGGCTTTAGGAGGTATACAAAGGGCTGTTTTCAGGTGGGGGGAGGTCTAAGGAAGGGCGCCCCTGACCTCACTGTTTCTAGGCAGCTTTAGGCAGGGCTTTGTGTGTGCGTGCGTGTGGCGGGGGGGGGGGGACTCACAGGGTCCTGAGTACCAGCACCTTTGGGGGGTGCATTCTGCCCAGTCCTGAGAGGGGAACTGGTGGCAAGCGCTGGCTCAGTGGTGGAGCATCTTCTTGGTATGCTGAAGATCCCAGGCTCCATCCCCAGCATCTCCAGTTAGAAGGATCAGGCAATATGGCAAACACGTCAGCCTGAGACCTTGGAGAGCCGCTGCCAGTCTCAGTAGGCAAAAGGGACCCTGATAGACTGATGGTCTGATTCGGTAGAAGGCAGCTTCATATGTTTATATGTGTACTGGCTCCCCCCCCCCCAAAAAAAAGTACTATTTTGAGGGGTTCCCGTAATGCGGGGGGCACAGTTCTGTGCAGCTTCTTTGCATGTCGGTTGCAGGCGATGCCAGCTGTGCAGCATCAGGAACAAACTGAACCCTGTTCTGTGGACTTAGCGGGATGGCGAAGGTGCGGGAACCTGTCTGCTCACTGGATTCCCTGTGGATCCCTTCTCAGAAGCAGGGTGCTAGGGAGGGTCGATGGAGCGACAGCTTGGGAGAGTCCTTTCTATGGGAATCTGACTCTCTCAGCCCTCTCCTGGCCTGCTGTTCAGCCAGGACCAGATCTGTACCACTGGGCATGATTTCCAGCCAAACGTTACAATTAGTCAGGTTTTGGTACCGACCTTTAAAGCCCTGAACAGTCTGGGACCAACATACCTTGGGGACCACCTTTCCTGGTATGTCTCCCAAAGAGCATTACGCTCTAGTGATCAAAATCTGCTGGTGGTCCCTGGCCCAAAGAGCATCTGGCTGTCCAGGGCTCTTTTTGTAGAAAAAGACCAGCAGTAAGTCATTAGCATAATAGGCCACACCCACCAGCAGGAACTCATTAGCATATTGGGCCACACCCACGACAGCACAGCTCATTAGCATACTAGGCCACACCCCCATGTTACCAGAAGTGTGGTCATCCAGCCACACCCACCTTTTGCTTGTTATTCTGTTTACCTTGTTTGTTGTCAAAACCCAGGGCTTTTTTGTAGCGGGAACTCCTTTGCATGTTAGGCCACACACCCCTAATGTAGCCAATCCTAATGAGTTTCTGCTGTTGGGTGTGGCCTATTATGCTAATGAGCTCCTGCTGGGCGTGGCCAACTCAGGAGCCAGCCGGAACTCCATTCCTGTGCGTTCCTGCCCAAAAATAGCTCTATGGCTGTCCTTTTTGACCCAGGCTCCAGTCTGGTGAAACACTCTTCTAGGCCCCACAGGACTTGCTACAGTTCCACAGGACCTGCAAAATGAAGTTGTTCCGCCAGGCTTATTGATGGCAGCGACGGGCTCCTTCTGACAGGTTTCTGGCCTCCCCCTCCTTCTCCTCGCTCCTCTTCCCTTCCCCTTTCCTTCTCATCAGACGGTTATATATTGCCCCTCCATAGGATTTTACGGCATCTTTTAGTGGTATAGCAGATTTATTTTATGGAACTTAGCGTATTTATTGTAATCTTAAGTGTATTTATTTGTATTTTTAAATTATTGTAGAATACTGTATGTTTTATAAATTGATGTTATCCTCTCTGAGCTGGTTCCGGGGAGAGTGGGTTACAAATCCAATAAATAAATAAATATGTCAGGAACATATTTGTGCAACCAATCCAAATAGAATCGGAAACGGTGCTTCTATGTTATTCCTATTAAATGCCACACTTTTCAGTTGGTTTTCCAAGCTACTTCCTCTGTAGTAACTGCCATAGGAGGTGGTGGCGGCTACAAGCATGGATGGCTTCAAGAGGGAATTAGATAAACATATGGAGCAGAGATCCATCAGTGGCTATTAGCCACAAGGTATAGATAGGGGCTCTGAGGCAAGTGATGCTCTGTATTCTTGGTGCTTGGGGGGGTCAACAGTGGGAGGGCTTCTAATGTCCTGGCCTGTCCACTGTTGGACCTCCTGATGGCACCTGGTATTTTTGGCCATTGTGTGACAGAGTGTTGGCCTGATCCAACATTGACTTCTTTTATGTTCTTAAATGTAAAATTGTAAAAAGTTGCCAGGACAAACATACTATTTGCCAGTAGAGGGCAATGCAGGATTACTTTTCACAAACCAGCCTCATGAAGCTGTTTTTTCCTGTGGCCATCCTCTGGCAATGAACTCCACATTTAAATAACTCTCTGTGTATAGAAGTATTTCCTTTTCCCCATCCTGAATCTACCGTTCATTGGCTTCACTGGATGCCCTCAAGTTCTAGCCTTTTGGAATACAAAGAAAAAGTTCTGTCTGTCAACTCTCTCCACCCCGTGCATAACTTTATAAACTTCTATCACATCCTGCTTTTTTCTAAACTGAGAAGTACCCAACTCTTCAGCCGTACTTCATAGGGAAGGTGCCCCAATCCCTCAATCTTCTTGGTTGACCTCCTCTGTACTTCTTCCAGCTCTGTTGTGTCTGTTTTGAGATACGGTGACCAGAACTGTACACGGCATTCCAAATGAGGCCGCACTATAGATCTATACAGTGAAATAGGGGGCAGGTTGACAGATAAAGGAAATAGGAGGAAGGGGGGAAATGGGGGGTGGTTTATCACAGAAGGGGGTAGATTGACAGCTAGTATCATAATGCCCATGTATAAATTTATGGTGTGGCCTCATTTGGAATACTGTGTACAGTTCTGGTCACCGCACCTCAAACAAAGATATTATAGCACTGGGGAAAGTGCAGAAAAGGACAACTAAAATGATTAAGGGGATGGAACACCTTTCCCTATGAAGAAAGGTTAAAGAGGTTAGAGCGCTTTAGCTTGGAGAAACGACAAATGAGGGGTGAGGCTTACAAAATTATGAGAGAGGTTTACAAAATTATGCATGGCATGCAGAAGGTAGAAAAGGAAGCACTTTCCCCCTTTTCTCACAATACAAGAACTTGTGGCCCCTTCATGAAATTAATGAGCACTAGGCTTAGAACAGATCAAAGGAAGTACTTCACCCAAAGAGTAACTAACACCTGAAGTTCTTTGCTGCAGGAAGTGGTGGTGGCTACAAGCACAGATAGCTTCAAGTAGGAACTGGATAAACATACGGAACAGAAGTCCATCAGTGGCTTTTAGCCACATGGTATAGATGGAACACTATGTCTGGGGGCAGTGATGCTCGGTACTTGGGGGGCCATAGTGGGAGGGCTTCTGGAGTTCTGGCCCCACTGGTGTACCTCCTCATGCTGCCTAGGGTTTGGCCACTGTATGACACAGAATGCTGGACTGGATGGGCCACCGGCCTGATCCAACATATGTCTGTATATGCAAGATCACAGCAAAGTCATGTAGGACATGAGGTTTAGATCCAGATGATCTGAATGACAGCTGAGTGGTCATATGACACTAATTGCGTCATATCAGTAAGTGTCACAGTGACTCAGCAATTGTACAGTACTGTGATGTGATTGGTCTGTACATGTATATATTGTAATTGATTCCTAGTCAAGCACTGCCTATATGGTTACGGCTGTTATGCGTAGCACTGCGTGGGTCAAAATCCTGATTTGCTACAAGCTGTGTATGTATATACTCTCTGTCAATAAACTGTAAATATTCTACAACAAACAACTCTGCTATTTTCCGGCTTCAAACACCGTCAACATGGCTTCTCTTATGTTCTCCAGAAACGGCGACAGAGGTCATTTCGGGGGGGAACGCGGGGGAACGCAGTTCCCCCGGGTGAGGTACAGGGGGGTGGGGCACATGATGAAGCCCCGCCCCCTGCTTCCGGCTGCCCTGCTTCCAGCCCTCATTCAGCCAGGAGGAGGCAGGAGAAGAGGTAGGGTAAGTTGCTTCCTCCCCGCCTCTCCCCACCCCTGCCTGCCTGGGGCCAGGGAGGGCCTTGGCGGGGCTTCCTCGCACTCCCGCTGGCCTTGCAGGTCCACCGCCGGGCCCCTGATGTCAGGGGGTGTGGCATATGCTAATGAGTTATGCTAATGAGTTCCCCTAGCTCTTTGTCTACGAAATGACCCCTGATTACGGCGACCTCTAAAAAGTCTGCAGCAACTGGACAAATGAGCCAGTGTCGTGTAACGGTAAGAGTATCGGACTAGTATCTGGGAAGCCTGGGTTTGAATCCCCACGTGTGCCATGGAATCTCACTGGGTGGCCTTGGGCCAGTCATGCTCCCTCAGCCTAACCTACCCCATAGGGTTGTTGTGAGGATAAAATGGAGAGGAAAACAATGTGAGCCCCCCCCCATTGGGGAGAAAGGCAGGGTACAAATGAATTAAATACACAAATAGCATCACCTGACTTTTAAAACAATTGTCACAAACTTTTAAAGCAGAATTGTAAGCCAACCTGGGGGCTCATGTTGACTGGTAGACAAATTATAAATGCTCTGAAGAAGTGAACAGGAGGAGGAGGAGCAGAAGGTGGAGAAGGAGGAGAAGAAGTTTTTATATCCCACTTTTCTCTACCAGAAGGCGTCTCCCTTCCTCTCCAGTGCAAGTGCAAAGAGATTTTGAGAAACGTGCTGGTAAAGAAAAGTTTTCTCCAGATTCATTAGAAACCAAAAATCAGCTGGGAGTGGAGTTTCAACGAGTGGAAGAGGTGGAGATTGTCAAAAAGCTGCATGCATTTTGCATGATTTTGCTTGCAGAAGATGTTTCTGTGCCATGCAAAGAAATTCCTTTTCCACTTCATACGTTATTTGTAAATAATGGATGGACTTCAGTGCCCCAAGATGCTACGGTCACTGCTTGCAATGGCTTTAATGGGGATTTAGAGAAATAGCAGAGGACAGGTCCATCAGCAGCTCTTTCAGATGATGGCTATCAAGGAGCTTAAAAGGTCTGAATGGAGCCTGAGGAGCAGACCATTCAGATATTTCTGCCTGTCTCTTTAACATTACACAGTTACGTGTGGATTCAGAGAGAGGGGATGCAATTTTGGTCCCCATTTTCTTTCCCTTGCTCAGTAGCCCTGTATTTATTTGGCTGTCCTCTGCATTCACTCCATATTGTAACCAATAACCATTTAAACAGCCAAATACTCTTTTTCTGTTTCTGAAATTGGGCTGCGGTCACACGGAGCATTAGCCACGCTACTGAGACGGATGATAGGCAGATTTTCCGGGCGCGATCACACTGCAACTTCTGGGAAGCGTAGAGCTCCCATGGCGAACCCGAGGCTTCCCGCCGAAGATGCGGAGTTAAAAACTAGTACCTCCGAGGTACTAGTTTCCGGAAACCGCGGGGCAAGGGCTGGCGTCTGATCGCGTTTCCAGTGGTAGTCCGTGGCATCCGGTGCCCGCCCATGTCCCGTCGCAAACAGGGGTTTTTTCCGGTCTCCACAGGATGCACAGAAGCACCCAACGGTGCATGCGCACGAAGAGGAAAGCGAAAGTTCCGTTGCTTCGCAGAACTGCGCATGCCGTTGGTGAGATCGCGCCGCACTGCCGTGTGATCGCCACCTCGCCCCTACCCACAGG